CTTCTGGACCCGCAATCAAAACGGGAAACGGTAACTTCTTGATTGGCTACAAGAACAGAACGGAGGCCACCACCGTAATGTGTCTGCCTCAACTGCTTGTAATTAATACTGGGGGGACCGTGAAATGATATTAAGATTGTGCAGGAGAAGAATAAGGATTTGTAGCCTGCACAATTTACTTAAACATGGGATACAAATGCGTCCCATTTGCTCGCTGTAGATCTTCACAATGCTATTGCATTCAGTATCTAACACAATTGGAGCTGTGATGGAGAAATCTTTTTGTAGTCTTTGTTGGCAGAGGAAGAGACAAGTATAGTGAGAGAGAGGTAGAGATCTAATCGTACAGACTTCGAAATCTTGGTGTGGCCCATGTGGGTGGACTAACATGCTTCATTTTCTTTCATTTTGGAGTCGTTACTAATAAATTTTTCATTTTGACATCTCTTTCTCAATGTTATGAAAGATGGACGATCTGATGCTTATAAACCCATGCTTCATGCAAGTGCAAAGACCTTGAAAGGAAGAGTGAACATAATGATAGGCCTTTGGGTCATATTTTCTTCATTTTCTTTTTTCCAAGGAAGTATCATTCCATCAATCTTTTTTATTGTTGGGCTATTAATATAAATTTATTTACATGCAGACTTAATAAAAAAAATGAATTTGTGGGTGATGTCATGTGACCTATTAATCAAGAGTTTGAGTAGATTAAAGTTTCTTTAGTGAGAGATGGAGGGAAATCTTTTAAGTATAAATAATCTTCTCTATATAATAAAGGAAATCCAACATATGTTTTCAGTCTCGAGCTTTTCTGAATAAATTCTACGAAAGGTCATTAATTACAACGGTATGATACCTAATGATATTCAGTGAATTTTAATCTTTTTTATTTCACAAAAATCTATATCCATATTCCTATGTTGGTTGTAATTATCGTTACTGAACAGTTTTTTCCTATAACTTGTTATTTTGTAATGTTTCTTGGGAGGACGTAGATATGTAATATTTCACAAAAAATAGTAATCTACCTAAATTAGTCGTAAATATCTTTTTCCTATCGTAACTAAGCTACCTAATTGGTTGCGACTTTACTATTGCATTCATGATCGACCCCACTAATAATAACTTATCTATTTCTTACAAATGTGTGACTTTTCTTTGGACGATGTAATTCACGTTCGATTGTCATAAGTTTTACGAGCCATTCACAATTTTTCATGAGAAGTATTAATCGCCAGCCCTCAACCAGGTTTGGGAGAGGGTCGCCAGACCTGGGCGAGGGCCGGCAACCCTCGCCTATACCGGGACAAGGTCCGGCCACCCTCGCCCAGATCCGGGAGAGGGTCGACGCCCTCTCTCGGTTCTGGCGAGGCTCACCGACCATCGCTGAGACACCGGCAACCTCGCCAGCCATTGCCATCGCCCCACCGGCGATGGGGCGGCAGCCATAGGCGGGGAGGGCTGGCCGGCCGGCCAGACCCTTGTTTTTTTTTTTTTAAACCTTTTTTAAAATTTTTAATCTAATTTAACTAAAATTTATAATAAAATTATTTTTGGACAAAAATTCCCTTGGTCGGTCAGAAAATTTGGTTGGCTGGCGGGGTAAGGCTTTGATTTGAAACTGCTATGGCCATTTTAGGCTCTTATTTAATAAAATAAGGCCACTTCAAATTCTTATTTGACACAAAGATCACTTTGGGTCCTTATCTGAGAAAATAAGGACACTTCGGATCCTTATTTAGAATTTTTCCTTAGTAAAATATATATATATATATATATATATATTTTGTCAGGTTAGTAAAATATCTAGTTGAGCGTCCGATATTAGTGAGCGTCTCAAGATGAACATCCCGAACCAAAAAAAAAAAAAAAGGAAAGTGGAACGGTTTTGGGGCGTTGAAATGATCGGATGGTCATTCTCTCTCTCTCTGGTGGCGTCGCCGACGGGGTTGGAGTCGCAGACTATAGCAGGAGTCCTCGCTCGCTCTCTCTCTCTCTTTCTCTCTGATCGCTCGCAGGTTGGACTCTCTCACTACCAAGTGCGTTCCAAGTTTCCCTTTTTCTCTTTCGATTCGACTCGCGCGTTCCAAATTCTTGAAAAAGTTGGGAAATTTCTGGGACTGAGCTGCTGATTACAGTGTATTCGAGTCGGGGCGTTCGCGGGATAAGTATGGAAAAAGTAGGGTGGAATGGTTTGGCTCGGAGTTGGGGGGGCGGGCGGGGGCGGGCTTCCATCGAATCCGCCGATCGATCAGTTTCCCTTTGCGATCTTTTATAGTTTTTCTGTTTGTCTGTTCAAATGGGTCGTTGCCTTGATCTCTTGTCGAAGTTGACAGAATCTGTGCCCGGGTAGTTGCCCTTTGGGCGCGCCTTTTTCCACCACTGTTTGAGCTGTTGAATCGAGTTCGAGAACGTAAATTGGGGACCACTGTAGCGATATCTTTAGAACTTGTCTTTGGAGGGTTCGTGGGGAAAACCCTGCAAAAGTGTTACAAATGGGGAATGGGATTTCGACCGATCCTGTATGGAGAAGCGAATTTCCAGTTATTGACTATCTTGGTTTTCAGTATCTTGAGTTGACATTGGCATCCCTTTATGAAGTCGCGGCGGCTGTGGTTGTTTTCTGTGCCTCTTTTTATGAAAATCGATTGTAAATGGTGGCTGTTACAGGCTCTATCGATGGTAGAACATGATGGTTTTCTTCTTTTCTTTTTTTGATCTATTGTTGGTCCGGTTGTAGCTTGATAGCAAGTCATCTGTTGCCTTTTCCGTTCGTCAGTACATTTTCCTCACTAAAGTATTACCTCTATCGGGCACGTGTTCAGCAATTTAGTCCTGAAGCGGACGAAACCCTTATCTTTGAAAAGATCACCAGGGTAAATTTCTGTGTAATACAAGTGGTCGATGAGGGCAGAATGCATTCACTAGTTTTTCGTTATGCTGTAGCTTTTCCTGACCAAGTCGAATGCCTGAACTAAAGGTCTGGTGTTAATTTCAAGTTTATTCTCTTTCAGAACCCCTTCGGAACCCTGCTGTTGTTATAGGCACCTGCAAAAATGTCTTGCAGAATTGCCCAAATACCCAAGGTGAGCTCTCACCCTGAAGTTTATGAACCATGTGACGATTCATTTGCTTTAGTGGACGCATTGCTAGCTGACCGCACTAATCTGTTGGAGCACAAACCAACTCTCTGCCTTGAATTGGGATGCGGTAGTGGATATGTCATCACTTCTCTGGCGCTTATGCTTGTAGAAGTGCCTGGAGTACACTATATTGCCACGGACATCAATCTTCATGCAGTGAGAGTTACCCGTGAAACATTGGAAGCACACAATGTTCATGCAGATGTGATAGCTACTGATCTTGCATCAGGATTAGACACCCGTCTAGCCGGTCTGGTTGATGTAATTGTTGTGAACCCGCCTTATGTTCCAACTCCTGAAGATGAAGTTGGGCGGGACGGCATTACCTCCGCGTGGGCAGGGGGTGTTGATGGCCGAACTGTTATCGACAGAATATTGCCGGTTGTGGATAAACTTTTGTCAGATAGAGGTTGGTTGTATATGGTCACTCTCACCACCAACAATCCATTGCAGATATGCCGCCAAATGAAAGCGAGAGGCTATGCCTCTAGGATAGTTGTGCAGAGGTCCACAGAAGAGGAAAGTCTTCACATCATCAAGTTCTGGCAAGATTCAGGTGATCAAACGTGTAAAAAGGAAACGGCGACATTGAAGAAAACAGCCGGCGGTAAGGTCATGGATTCTGTACTCTCGCAAATTCATCGATTGCCATTCTGGAAAAAAGTCGAAAGCAATGACTGACCCGACATGCTGTGTAGTGGAGTCCTCTCAATATATACTGTGTTTTGTGTAATATCGCGTTGGGGCAACAACACCTTGTTGAATAGTTGAAAATCAGGCTTTGGATTCCCTTCTTTATCTAACTGAGGATCATTGAAGTAAGAAGTAATAGCTTGGGGTTTATTGGAAGAGCACTTTTTGTTCGTCTCTGTGTCCAGGCACTGCTTACTACACTTTTCTTTGTTTGATTTTGTTGTGCAAATTAATCGAATTAGCTGGCTCTTTATGATCCTTCTGTGGTCTAGAATAAGTTGGATCTGGCTAGGAGATATACCCTTATGGATCTGTATGAACAGTGTTACGTTAGTTGGTACTGGTGCATATGCGTAAGTGCACCCCCCTCCAGAATTCACCTTTACGGGTAAGCTGGTATCGCTTTAGATATCCGTTAGGGCTCGTCTGTTTCTCCCAAGTCTTGGTTAAAATCCGAGTATATCATGGCCTAAATCACGTTATCTCGACATAACAAAACACGCGATTTATGCGTTTGCGGTTAATTGGCTTTAGCGTCGGCTGTACATTTCCAGCCCAAACTGTAATCAAACCAATGATCGCGCTCAAACCAAGCCAATATTTCGAGACTGGTCATTGATATAGTTCAATTTGAACCGTCAACGCTAAGTTCACATTTATACAAGTCCGACTTTAACTTTACACACTTCGAATCTTCAATGACAAAACTTATCAACTAACCTTGTCAATAACTGCTGACGAGAACTATCATATGGAAATAGAAGCGGCAATGCAAGTAAAGATAAGGTTTGTATCTTCTCTTTCCCTTATTTAAAGAAAATCTATAGCTGGATATGAGCTTATTGGATAAATTACTGAAGCTATATACGCTTGCTCATTGCCCGGGTGATTCATTAGTCTGAAAAGAATCCCAACAAACAATGCGATCAAATATTTATCCACACCAAACTTCTGCCACCAGGCACAACCGAATCTCTGCCCTTAAACCAGTTTTAATATTCTTTTCTTAAGTATCCAATATCACCGGGCTTAGAAGAAGTCGGTCGGCGCTTTATTTTGCAATTTACAACAAAAGGAAGATTTAAAATGAACCAAAAGCAATGGAATGATGAACAATCGAACTCGAGAGCACTCAAAAGAGCATGATTTACACCAGCAGCGAAAACATATAATTTGCCCGGTGAGAGAGGGCGTATAATTAAAAATTTCAGAATAATCTTAATCAAAGCTTCAAATGACAAAGGGGAGTTCTCTCTTTCCTAGTTCCTTCTCTTCTCTCGCTAATATCGCACCCTGTCCAACTGCCTAGAACCAACAGCGCCTCAATTACACTTTATCATCTAATTTATCATTTACAAGGGGTAGGAGCTCCATACGATTTCGTGGGGTACGGGGAGTCCGAGGAGTCCCTGGTGGCTGTTGGGATAGCATGTGCCGCACATAACCATAGAAAGTGCAGCCCAAGAGCGTTATTGCACACCCCACGGCATTCAGATACGCGATAGGATTCCGGAATATGAGCCATGATACCATGACGGCGACTGCAACCTAAATGAATTAATACAAGTAACTCGAATTACTTCAGCACGAAAACATGAGGAAAAGCAGGTAAAAAAACAAAAATTACGTTGCATGAAAAACGCAATATCAGGTAGTGACTGCAATCTGAAAGTTCTCATGCACTTCTGGAATTCCAGTAAATCAACTGAAATTGTCACATCGATTAAGAGAATTGTGACGCATGAATGAAGGATCAACAATCGCAATAAGAATTCCAAACACAGAATAGTAGAAATCGAGCATTATATACTTGTTAAGAACCTTACCTTGAGATTTCCGGCAACATTAAATGTTACTGCAGTTGTTGAGTGAATCACGTAAAAGATGGAGAAATTTAGGCAAAATGCCAACACTCCCGAACTGAAAATAATGATGAGGGATGAGGTAATAGATGTATGGGTGTGAAACCAGAGAAGAACTCCAGAACCTTCAAGAAGGATCGCTGGGACAGCCAATATCATTGTTGCAAAAGGTGCCATGTAGTATACCGTGTTAATGCTACAGACACAAATAAGTCGAGAAAAGTAAATTAGCATCAGTCTCACTACTACAAATTAAGCAGAGCACAAATATCTCAGACATGAAGATAAATGGAAAATCTCAAATTATTTTCAGAGGGTTCTTCAAACAGTAAGATTTCTTCCCCTAAGGCAGAAAAACAGCCATCATAAAAGCCTCTATTTAATAGTCATCAGCATAAATTAGCAGTGCAACTAATTTGGGCGAGAAGAGAAGGACGGAATAATTGCAATTTTTTTTTTGGTAAGGAAATAATTGCAATTTCATCTCTGACAAGGGTACTAAATCCATCGTTTATCTTGCATGCCGAGTTGAGCGTCCTGATATGAAAACATAATAATTTAACATGTTTCTTTAGTCATACAGGAAGAACAACCACCAAAAAAGACAAGTAAAGGTAGTGAAAGGCTCAGCTGAAAAAAAAAATGTAGTCTAGATTGCTAAATCGCTTTGTTTGCAAGACTCAGGAATTTGGCATGGGAGAATGAAGGAATAAGCTAGCCTAACCATGCTGGAATCTCATTCAATACCCTCATGTGTTTTAAGCTTATGCTGAGAGAACCCCAGTAACGAAAGTGGAGTCGATAAATATCTGCAAAGAGAATCGATAGAATCCAAACCAAACTTAACAAGTAAGTAAGTCTAAATGAGCAATTTGCAGCATTTTTCTTGATATTCGTTTCTTACTATCGAAGTAGGATGCGGATGCTTTATTATGAGGCTTACTCAAGGCACACTTCTATAGCATCAATAACAACAGCTAGACAAGTACCTCCAGATGACATGAAATAGCTTACTCATAGATAGACCTATTGTACAATGTCTACATTCCTTAAGCAATTACATGCCTATGCTGTTCCCTTTAACCACAATCCACATTGAACGTGTGGAGAACTGGACAGGCATGCGTAACTTAAAGAATTAACAATTATCCAAGGAATCTCAAAGTTAAAACCATCAACATTTGTGTACGGGGATTCATTCCAGTTATGAGCATTGATCTGTTAGAATTTCCTTCCATAAGCATTGATCTGGTAGAGCCAAGAAAAGATCATCTCTATCAGCTATACTCTAAGAGAACCAGTCGACTTAAAGCAAAAGTTCCTTTTGTATCAGACATTTTCCCTCAGCTATTTCCTTTCGTGTGACAGATGAACAACCTCCATAGTAGCAGTTACATAAGCTAAGCAAGTAGTAATATCATATTTCATTGAGACTCTCCTTTGCCATTTAATCCAACACACCCTGATGGAAAAACTACGACACAACAAAGGTGTATAATGCCTTGGCGTGAAAGGTTCGTGACATCCTAAAAACAGACATGATTATAAAGGTATATTAGAAGAAATAAGGCAGGAAAAGAACCAGCAACGGTGATGTACCTGTCGAACTTGTATCCATGCAACAGGGATTCTGCGAGAATTGTCTTTGTGGAAGTTGCAAGACAACCAAATAAGGCAGCACAGAACCCCAGCATGTTAAAACTAAGCTCTGTAACTGATGTAAGAAGAATTCCCCCTACGATTGGTACCAGAGAAGCCCAAATACGCCAATCAAAGTATTTTTTCCACACAAGCCACTGCAAAACAACTGTTCAGATCCATAGTTAGCTGGGTCTTCCGATTGCTTAATGAAGCATATGATCAAATGCAGGGACCGAAAGCATTTTACTCCGCGAAAGAAATATTTCGCACTAACCAGTCGTTGCTGGAGTGAATGACTTTATCGTCTGCATGAAAGAAACTGGGATGTAACGTAGACTCACGTTCCCGAGGACAATGTTTATACAGAACACAAAGGACATGGGAAAAATCCGTCTCCAGCGATCTTCCGGGTCAACAACAATCAAGGGCTTGAGCTTCAGCACTTTTATAACCAGGTAAGCTCCAATAGCCGAGCATATGAAGTGGATACACGACACGGTCAGAGGAAACTTGAAATCCAATTTCTGCGGAGCAAAAGATGAATATTCTCAAGGTAATCTACGAGATGAGCAAGGACATCCAATATACAGGGAAAACCCATCCGTTTAACAGAATTTCACCTCTCGATGAGCTAATACATCACAAATTAATAAGAAAGCAATCGGAATCGACACTGAAAACACGAATAGACGGGGATTATGTTCATTTAGATTCTTCTAAGAAAAAGGTAAGTCAGCAATGCAGCAATCTCCTCGACAGCTTAAAGGATATGCAATGCCAGACTGAACTTCTTCCTGAGAAAGATATGGATCCAACGATTCGCACGGAGATCAACTGGTGGGTCATTTTCTTTTTTAGTATTTGGGCGTGTGTCTGCTGCGTAAATTTGACCTGATCCGTCAATGCAGCCGACCAGTCTATAATTGAAAAAAAAAAAAAACACAGAGGGACTGAGAGAAGGGCAACAGAGATTCGAATAGAAACTGGATCCGGCGACGGATCACGTTAGTAGATGGTTAAAATCCTTCGTGCCGTCTTCAATCGTCAGCTCGGGATACGAGACAACCCATAAAACGAAAAAAAGCACGAGGAGGAGAAGGAGGCATCGAAAATTGCAGCTTCGCTGATCCAAGTGATGAAATTTAAGAAAGGAGAACACAAGAGAAAACAGCGAAATTAGAGCGAGAAGGAAAACGATGATCAGCTCAGTTTTGAGAGCAAACACATCCGCCGGAAGTTCAGTCAGCTAACCAGAGAAGCGCGACAATCACAAGCGTCCAACCAAAAAGAACATCGCGGATCGAAGTGAGAATTCCCCCGAAACAAGCGGAATCCAGCGAAACGAAACTCATCGCGGCGACGCCGGATTTCCACGGACCAGGACGAGCTCGAGAGAAAGAATCGCGGCACAAAAGCGAAGAGGGGGGGCGGGGGAAACCTGGAAGATCCACTTGTTCATGATGATGACGGTGACGTTGAAGCCCCACCACTGGACAATCGCGAGGAGGGATCTGAAGACGCTCCACTGGCACAGCACGCCGTCCTCCATCCTCGCCGTCCCCAAATCTCTCTCCCTTCTCCGAGCCCCAGGTAAAGAGAAGAGAGACAGACAGAGAGAGAGAGAGAGAGAGAGAGCCTAATCGAGTTCCTCCTCGGCGCTCTCCAAATCGATCAGAAGCACCGCGGATGGAGGAAGGGAGAAGAAGAGGGAGAAGGAGGAGGAAGGAGGGGGGGAGGGAGGATGCGAGGGGGTGCGTAACGGTGGGAAGGAAGGGGTGAGCGCGTGCGCGTGTTTTGGTCCCATGTGACGTGCGCCTCTGCTTCGGCGACGCGTTGAAATCTAAACGTCGCTGCTGCTGCTGCTGCTGGCTCCTCCTCCTCCTCCTCCTCCTCTCCGGTCGCGCTCGCCCTCGCACGCCATGGATTCGGGAGGGGGTGGGTGTGGTTTTGGTTGTGCCTTCGTCCCTTCTCCTCTTCTCTCTTTCTCCCTCCTCTCTCGCTACTTTGCGTTTTGCAGCCTCTTCGTAATTCTAGGTAAAGTCTCCTCCCTCTCTCTCTCTCTCCCTCTCCCTCTCTCTCGGGTCATGTGTGGGTCCCCGCTTCGATGAGGATTATTATTACGGGCGAGAGTTTCATGATTCGAGCGAGAGAGGGAGAGATAACGCTCATCGCTGCTGATTCGACTGTTTGATACCTACCGGTAAATACGGGAACAGAACGATTATCGTTCTGTTCCCAGAAATAATTTCTGAAACGGAAATAGATATTCCTAGGACGAGTTTATGAAGAAAGGAACTCGTTTGATAACGATTAAAAGTTTCTATTTCTGAAATAGAAACCCGTTTGATAGCAGTATAAAATTTCTATTTCCTGGAACATAAATCCGTTCGATAACAACACAAATTTCTATTTCCCGAAACAGAAATCCATTTTTTTAGAAATGGCCTCTGAAATGAAAATCAATCAAAACACCCAAAGGTTTATTCATTCAAAGGATCGTGTTGTTTTTTAGGGTTTTAGGGTTTTTTAGGAGTAAATGCCTCTTTTGGGAGTTAAAACCCCTTTTAAATCCGTAAAGTAAGGAGTCTTCAAAAATATCACTTGGGCACCTCAAAATTTTTAATTTCACTCCAAGTAAGTGGCCACTGGTATTTTAAGCCATTTCGTAAAATTTTGAAATTTTTGATTTTTTGATTTTTTTTGAAAAAATTCACCAAATTTCCTATTTTCCCAAAATCTGAATTTTTTATTTTCTGGAAATTTTTATGAATATTTCTGGAATTTTTCAATTTTTATGGATTTTCTGAAAAAAAAATTTTGAGATTTTTAGGAATTTTTCGGATTTCCTAAATTTTTTTATGATTTTTCTTTTTTTTTTAGAATTTTTTTTGTTTTCCCGCCGGGAATGAACCGGACCGAACCAGTTTGGACCAGCCTGACCAGGTTAGACCAGGGCCAAATTTAGAAAGAGATATGTTTTGAAGAGAAAAGATAGGTTCTTTTATAAATGGTTTTCATTTCTCGTCCAGAAACAGAAAACCTACTCTTTTTTTTGTTCTGATTTTTGGTCCAGATTTTTGTTCCAGAAATAAAAAAAAATAGAATTGCGTTACCAAACGGGTTTCTGTTCCAAATCTGTTTCCGGGAACAAAAAACTAGTTCTAAACAGAAACAAAATGGTTATCGTGCACGTCCTAAAATGCTGTCGCGAGCTAGGCGGCTCGCTAGATCGGCCCGGTTCTCCACGGGGCTCGAAGGTGATTCGGGAGGGACGGAGAGAGCTCGGACGAAGGATCTCTAGCTCGACCCAACCTTGATTTGACTGGATCGACGAAGAGCAACCACGTGTGATACCGATGGCCTCGACAACAAGTTAGGCTCGATTGTTGCCACATCTCCCCTTGACCCGCTCGGCAGTGATTTATGCTAATTTGAAGATCGAAGAGACTAGCCGATAGGGACATTAAGCATTTATAAATTCCATTTTTGTTAGGGCAAAAGCCACAAAAAGAACTCTAAATATTTACCTTAAATTTTTTTCTATGATATTCAAAATCTCGAACTTGTACATATATGACATATTTACATCGGTTAAGTTTCGGTCAATAAGCACCATTAAATATCTGCTTACATAGACGCTGGAAAGCAAACGGGGTTGATAAGGCACCGACGTGGCTTAAATTAAATAAAAACACATTTTGACTGAAAAATAATATGACGAACCTTGAGGTTTTTTTATATCACAAGAAAAATTTTAAGGTAAATGTATCACAGTGTGTATAATTTATGATTTTTTATGTCTTAAAAAAAAGTTCAGGGTAAATGTGTCACGGCTAGTATAATTTGAGGTTTTTACGATTTTTTTTTATTGTAAAGTAGCCAACTATGACCGAATATTTATGTAACGTGGAACTTTTCCAACGGTTTTAATTTTGCAGGAAGCCAAAAATATATACATAAATTTTTTTTTCCCAAAGGTCCCGGTGGAAGCGAGCGATGGAAATTGGAAGGTAATAATGTGTGGAGTATAGGGCGGGGCATTGACCCGAGGGCGTACTGCTTTTGTTGTGGGCGAGGGCACGTGGGATGGGTTTCCTCTTTTTGAAAGTTCCTCTCTTTTACCGTGTTTTAGTGGAGTCACGGTGTCACATGTATTGCCTACTACTACTGCCCAGATAGTCAGTCACCGGTGATTTGAGTTAATGATATCTCGAATCGTGCTTCTTCATTTCGATGCTCGAGAAAGAAAGTTTATTTACCGTGTCAAGAACGGGTGTATACAGCTTAGTGAAATGTTTCTGGTAAAAAACCAAAGCGAGTCGAACACCGGCGAGTATTAGGATTTTGCAAAACATAAGTTGAATATCTAGATCGGTCGGTTTTAACCACGCGATCCATGGCTTATTTGGGTCCACTGTCGACTCGCGCGTCCGACTTTTGCCTCGTTGACGCGCCCCGCTTCACGAGGCGACTGTAGGGCGAACCGGAGCGCTCCGTGGACGTTCTTTACAGGAATTAGCGTGTGCCAAAGGCGAAGCCTACGGCAAAATGGATTGAAGAGGCGTGCGTGATCGTTAATTGGTTAGGCTTTCGACTTGAACCTTCCCCGATGCTCCTCTATTCGCGGCTCCCGTTGCCATTCCCAAGGTTCACGAGTTTGCTTCCGAGTTGGTGGAAACTGGTGGACATCTCTTTACTGCTTTTTATTATGGTGAAGTGATTGATACGTGAGAGCCTTCAAAGGGGGTAGAAACCGACCCAAGATCGATGAATCAACCTGAGATTGAGATCCCACCTCTTTGCATTCTCTTTTGGTGTTGTTGCTACGTGGGAGGGGGCTTTTAGTCGTCGGACTTCGTTGGGACGTCGACTCGACCATGAAAGCTCACGCCGACCGAATTTGCCCCATCCTTTGTCAAATCAATAATGACAAAAGACTAGACCTGTTAAATGGGTGGGTAGGGTCGGGTTTGGGTCGGATCATAAATTGTCTGACCCAAATTGACCCATTAACCCGTTTATAATCCATTTATGCGCAATGCAATTTTCTTGACCCATACCCAACCCATACCCGATCAGATCCATATTGCTAAACACACTTCCATATTTAATTAAATATAGAAAAATTCATACCCAAGCTGAAATGAGAATGCGGAGTGAGTGAGTGCAAGAATGAGTGAGGGCGAGAGAGATGCGTTGAGTTTAAATCAGTTGTAAACTCATTTACAACCCATTTAACACTAATACAAGACTTCTACTCATTTATGACCCATTTACTAAATATAACTAACCAATTTATGACCAATTTACTAATATATGGGTTAAGAAATGGGTTTATGACCCATTTTAGCAAATCTAGAAAAGACCCATATATATAATGCCAGTTTGATTTGTCCTTCGATCCATATAGGATTAATACGTAGATCGGTCCTTTGATCGTCACTCTCCATCTTCAACTTCGGACATCTACTCCTATCATTTTTCAAGTATAGGTACGCGTATCTCTTTTTATCCAATAAATGTACACGAATTAACCGTAACGACACTAATTAAAAAAATCAGTTACCCGTGACATTTTATTCTATCCTATCCTATTTTATTTTTATATGTGTGAAGGAAACACGATTGAGATTTTGCACGAAAACATTAACAACAAAAGAAACCCAAGGTTGGCAAAAGCATATGAAAGAAATATGCCACAAAAGATTCCCCTGCGTGAGCCCCCCACTCATACTTTTCACGTATTGGTATTGCGCAACAGGAGAAAACGACCGCCCATGATCTCTCCATCTCTTAGCCTTTTCCCCCTTATAGCGTACGATAACTCCCATTTTCATCATCATTCAAGATAAGATTCGAGAAATCAAAATACCTGTAGAGAAAAGAAACATCTCACGTGGTAAAGTTCATACGCCTTTACTTTTGATCCGAAAAAGGACCGTCTTATTGTCGCAATTGTTTCTAAACGTTCGAGACCCATGTCTCGCAATGTAGTTGGACAAAAAAGAAAAAGAAATCCTGAACGGGAGAGAAAGTTTCGATTCGATTAACCTATAAGATATGATTTTCGTGTAAGATCATCGAGGGAGCTTGGCGCACGTCTTGCGTCAACGCTCAACAGTGAAGTCAACCATGTACGGCCGAGCATGGCCAAATTAGACATGGCCACGGTTTGGAACCGGCCAGTTCCGGTTCGTGGCCATGTATGAACCGAAACCGGCGGTTCCGAGCCAGTTCTGGTTCCGGCCCGGTTCAGAACCGGCCGGTAAAAATTTAAAAAATAAATTATGAAATAAAAATAATAATAAATTATCAAATTACGAAATAATGAATTATTCAATATAAAATGTAATCAAAATGTACATTGTAATCAAATTTGGGAAAAAAAGAGTTTCTTCACTTATCTGCAGTTTTTTTTTTTTTTTTGGAACCGGGCCCGTAGGCCACGGGCCGGTTCCGGTTCGGTCTTGGGTTTGACCCGGGTCAATTCCGGGCCGAAACCGTCCCGTGGCCATGTCTAGGCCAAATTGCCAGTTCCCCTTTTCGGATTTTTCTCAATGAAGATTCTCTTAAAAAAAATCTTTGCTTTGGGGTTCAACTGCGTCAAAGCTGCAGTCAACCGTGCTATACTTTTCGTACTAAGAAATTTGTATTGGGTAGATTTCACGCCGACTACGTACCTCGGAGTCGGAGCTGAGAACGTCCCCTATGCGCATTCTTTTATTGCCTCGAGAATCGAGCAAGGTTGGTTCTGCCCTTGTAATTTGGACAATGTCTCGCTTTCGCCCCTCTTCGATTTCGTTCCGTCTCGATTTGGCCCTTCTTTCCCCCATAAACATGCCTCAACTCTCGAGTTGCCCCAGGTTTCCAACTCTTCATTCGTTTGTGGAATCGAGTGTAATGAAATTTATGGTAAAAAACGAAAATTAAGTACAGAGAATTTGTTAAACTTCTAATAGGTGAAATTGTCTAGTTAATCCTAAATCTTTAGGCACATTTTGATATGGTCCTTCCGGTCAATTTTCGCCGGAAATCGCCAACTTGATTGTGTGCCGTGTAGGACGACCGGCGATAACTAAATTACCATGTCAGTGATTCCAACGAAAATTGATTTGAAGAATTATATTGAAATTTCCCACAAAGATTTAGGGTTAAATTTGCAAAATTTGAAAGTTTATATTAGAATTGGCATTTGTACGATATATTTAGGGCCGATCGGACGATTTTCCCACCTCTAATGCGATCAATAAAGGAAGAATAATGAATTTGCAAGCAAGATTTGATAACGAAAATTGTAAAAATGGGCTAGAAGATTTGATGATTGTGTTTTTTTTTTTCTTTTGCTAAAGATATAAGGCTGATAGGATAAGCACAGAAGTTTAATCAAGTGTCAACCCTCACCATTTCCTTTTAACGCAGTTAAAAGAACCACATGTACAGGAATATCAGAAGACGGTGTTAGGAAAAGAAAAACCAAATGATAACACGGTCAGTCAGGGTCTAGACTCGAGAGGGTGGACGACCCTACTAGAATCACCTAACTTTTTTCCATCCGTCAAAGTGCATGGCTCCTAGACTTACGGCGGACCTACTGCCATTAAAGAGTCGTCACATTTGTTTTCGAGTGCAAAGATGACCGTCTCGCTCCCTTGACCAAACTTGCTCAAAGTGGGCCTCCTTTCCTTGAGGGCTACATATCATAATTCCCAAGTTTCAACAGCTAAATAAAGAGAAGGGTGTGATTGCAAAGGTGTGCCGGCGTCGACTTTGACCAATTGCTAGGGTTTGCGTGAGCGTGAGTAGATGGCCAGATTGATCTCAAGCTCCTGGAGCTGGCGAAGAAAGCAACAGGCTTTTTTGGGTGCGTTCTGGACTTCAAGATCTCAAGTGTTGCTTCGTAGCCAAACTCTTGGCTCTTTTAGACTTTTGTAATGCTCAACGAGGGCATTCCTTTGAAACCTTGGATGGTTTTTGAAGTTTAGGCACGGTGGGGCGTACTTCATAAGCCAAACTCTAGCTCTTAGACTCTTTCAATTACTCAATGAGGGCATCCTTTGAAAAGCCTCGGATGGTCCTTGAAGTTTAGGCACACGAAGTGGAGACTCTATAATATATTTCAGGTCTCTAAGCACTCAATTCATGGACCCATCAATGGCTTGAAACCACTAAGGTAACCCGATTGATGTGAAAGGAACATGTTAGATGGTTCTACTTCTATTGTTTTCTTGGAGAAATTGTTTCTTGACGAAACAAAGCCCTCATCTGACGTTGTCAGTATGTTAAAGAGAGAATCATATCCCAGGTTCTCTGTCTGATAAGCTGAGAATGAACGGTTCAAACACTCTCAATTTCCCAGCAGCTGGCTTGATTTAAGAAACCTACTAGTCAATTTTCCGGCTTATGAAAGTTTCAAAAACTCCTTTTCTTTTTCATTGATCAGTGGCCTTCAATCGCATATCATTGATCGCGGTCATTAGTTACTATTGCCACCATTCACCGTTGGTCAAGGAGAGAGTCGAATTCCCTTTATCGTTGCAAGAGGACCGGGATTGTCGGCTTCACAACGATGTTATTTGACCAAGAAAACACTAGAATGTCCTCCATCATAAAGAAAGAAAAACCACCACATTGGGGGAAAACATGGTTGATTTGACAAGTCCAAAACGGGGCTCAACAAACAAAACTCTGCCTTCGTATTGCAGATGGGCCTTCCGTACATCGATAGTTACATTTTTGGTCCATCCAAGGATGGTCAAAAGTACTAGGCACTGTTTCTATGCCTAATCTCCAGTTTATACGTCAGACGAGTAGGGAGTAATGAAACCTCTCAGTATTCAAGATCGGCTGCATTTCCAGCTTATGAGAACACCGGCAAAGAGGACTTCAGATGACAAACTTGGAGGCAGGGGATTTTGCATCTTCTCCCACTGTATTTCCTGGTACACACATAAAAGCTGGCCAATTAGATATATTAGCAATTAGTTTCAGATAGCAACTGATACTTGGTACCCTCAGAACCATGACCCAAAAAAAGCACACACATCACACAGCAGTTTGTCATAATATATGTATGAAGAAGAAGATCTATGTGTGCATCGACATCCATCTACCCGTTTATCTATCTCTGTAAGTGTGATATGACTATTCTCTCGTGAAGATCTACAAAAGCTATCGCCAACGGCAACTCTTTTGATGCATTAGAAAACCACTCTGCCATGAAATGGAAGGCCACAAAATTGCTAGGCCACAAAAGCAGTACTCTAGGTCTCAACAAAAATGGGTGGTACACTGCCACTTCTCTTCCCTCTCTCACCTAAGCGACGATCATAGCAGCACAAACAAATGTCAAAATACTCTTCAAATCTGAAAATAGAGGATTGCGTCCTAGAACTGGTATATCCATTTATTTTGAATAAATATTTAAAATCACTTGTACTTCATTCTCTTACCTTGCAGGAATCTTTTTCTCATATCATGTCTTACTGATATTTAGACTCCAAAGTGAACCGGGAAAAGATTGTTTTCCTAATTCAGTTCTACTGGTTAGAGGCACCGATACATTGCTTCCTCATTAAGAAACCAGTTCTAGTTTGTGAGATGTGTCCTTGCTAATTCAGAAATATAGATCGACCGCCTTCCCTGCAGAGAGATAAAATTGCGTAGCAAACAGGTTCTAAAAATCCAATTCTCACTTTCCAGGGATAGTCTAATCATTCACACCCCGTGTCCCTATTTGCGTCCTGAAAACTCACTCTCCTTGGAAAGAGAAAGATCACCAAGTACATCACATCCAGGGTTCAAAATGGGCTGCAAAAGTGGGGTAGCCCACAATTCTCCAACCCAAACAATATCAGCATTCAATTACCGCCCCCCACCAGGACTTCAAAACCTAAGTTGTAAGGCATCTTAAATAATTATTCTGTATGCGCTTCGTCACCTTCCCTCCCAAGGTTATCCAAATGATCCACAGGCCACACATTTCTAGACCCTTTACTTGGTTTATGGTTGCTATAAAGGAAAGAGTAAGACTGAAGCAAGAGGGGGAGCAGTATTCCTCCTAAGTGTCAATCCAAACTGTATACAGACAAAACTTACAGGGTACAAGCATACAGCTAGCCTACCATAGAAATTAATTCGAGCAGACTAGTAGTAAAACAGAAAAGCAGATAAAATGTTCCACGACTTCAAGAAATTTAATCGATACTAACCACAAACAATCACACGCTACCCTTCTAATCAAATCACATTACCGCAATCAAAGAACCCAATGGAGGGTCTAAAACTATCACTCGTTGTAGATCAAAATCTCCCTATCCAATCAAATAACACTTATGGCAGCCAAAAACAAGAGATGCCTTGTAGTCTTAACTCTACCATACTCTTCTTCAAAACTGTTTACATAGTTACAGAAGCACGTTTCTGCCCACATTCATACCCATCGTGCACATGCATTTTAAGAGTGGCCAATTAAACAATTCACAGTCAATCCCACGCAACTCCAAACAGAAAGTGGGGAGAATCTAAAAAGATCAATGAAGCGGCTTCGCTCTGGCAACCCTGATTGCATTTCCACAAAATGTCAGCTTCTCAACTCGTACTCAAGATGTTCACAACTTCGAACAGAACCTTAAGAGTACCCTGGTTTTCTGCAATCTAGTACTCACGGATCGTCAACATCGAGAAATTTAATAGACAGAGAGAGAGAGGGAGAGTACCGGGTTGCGGAGCAGGGGCCTCGCCGTAGATGACCTTGAGCTTGTCGAGCGGAAGGAGAGCAGAATCGGAGACGGCTTCCGCGAACAGCTGCTGCTTCCAATCCCACATGGCCTTCTTCGTGGCCTTGTTCGACTTGACGAGCGTGTCCTTCTCGGCCTCGAGGGACTCGATGTACCTCTGCTGGTTCACCGATCTCGCGCACAGCGCCGCGAAGGCGCCCACCAGGCAGACGTCGATGACGACGTTGTTGTTCGCGACCTTCGTGAGAGCGGCCAGCGCCCTGTTCGCAGCCTCCATCGTCGGAGATCGCCGCCGGTCGAGGGTTTTTGCCGGGGGGGTTTTTGGTCGTTTTGCAAAGTGTATCTGGCCAAAAAAATAACAATAAAATCTCTCTACCTCCAAAATTATCTTAAGTAGGGCGACTTTCGTTTTTAAATTTTGACTGCCTCCTCGATTTTCGTGCTTTGATTTTTTTTTAATACGAAACTCTTGATATTTATCAAAATATTTATAAATTGACACGCGAATTTGAGTGTAATTTTTCATAATTTTCGGAATAAATTATATTTCTTTTGTTTGGTTGGAATATTAAAATCTTTTCACAAGGTGAAAAATTGGAATATCTATGAATAGCCATTACAACAATAAGTTTATATTTGGAACGGCACGAATCTCACTGTTTAAGGACTTTCGCATACCAACGTGTCGAATTTTGGAGAATTCACTTTTGCTTTCGATTTTTAACTTTTAGCGTTAAATATTCAATTTCATTTAATATTTAATGATTAGAAAAATAACGACATAATCTCAATAGTTGCAATTTGACAAAATGATTTCGTCTTTGATATTTTCATCTCCCCTTTACTTTGTCCTTTTTAACCTCCTATTCTCCACCAACAAGTTGACTTTGTCACTACTAATAATTTCGCTCGCACAATCTGCACACCACCCGTTCCTTTGATTCGTCTCACTCAATTTTTTCTTTGACACTCAAACTCTCTCAATAATCATATATCGAAGGTCGATGACCCACAAGAGTACCATTCCCAAAAGAGATAGAGATTGCGTCAAATGAGGGAGTGAAGTGATAAAGAGGTGAATGACTAGAGAGTGTCTTATCAGAGAGAAAGTGCAACAAGCTTTTAGCAATTCAATGCAAATGAGAAAGAGAGTTAGGAAATTAAGTTTAGCTCTTTTTTATTTTTATCACTAAACAAACCTAGATTACCGATTCTATTATATTGATGTGCCAACTTTTTAAAGAAGTAAAAAGAATTCCAATCTTTTGAGCAATTTTTACGTGTATATATCTATATATATGAAATCATAATCGTCGGGTAATGACGTATCGTAATCATAAATTGCTCCATCTAAAATCGTTTTGGACCCTCGAATAGAAAATGATTGTTCACTCGAGCAAGATAAAAAGAAGAAGAAGGGGAGCAATGTGTGCCAATGGCCAATGCAATGCTGGCTTGGTTTATTTTTCATTTTTTGGGGCCATCCGCTTTGAAATTTCGATTCCAAAGCAAAATTACCGCTTGAACCAGGTCACGTGACAGCCACGCGGTCGAGAAGGCGGGAGCGCTCTTTGGGAAAATTTCAATTAAGGACCTCAAGTGGGATCAAATTCTCAAAAAGGGGTCCAAAGTGAATATTGTGTCAAATAAGGGCCTGAAGTGCTTAATCAGTCTCAAATAAGGACCTGAAGTGCCCAAAATGTCTCAAATAAGGACTCGAGTCCCGGCCGGCCAAAATACCCGCCGGCCGGCGAGAAAGTTATCTGCTCCTAAGACCGAACAAGAAACTTTTTAAATTTTTTTATTATTTTCTTTCTTTTTCCTTTTCTGTTTTTGTTCTTTTCCTTTTCCTTTTCTTTTTATTTTTTATTTTCTTCCTCCGCCGGCCATAGCCGGCCGGAGGAGGTCGCCGGCCTCAGGTGAGGCCAGCCTCGCCGGCGTCGGGCGAGGCCGGCCTCGCCGGCCGGGCGAGGCTCGACCTCGCCGGCCTCGCCCGATTGCGGGTGAGGTCGAGCCTCGCCGGCGTCGGGCGAGGCCGGCCTCGCCCGGTTGCGAGCGAGGTCGAGCCTCGCCGAGATCCGGCGAGGCTCGACCTTGCCCGACGCCGGCGAGGCTCGACCTCGCCTCGCAACCGGGCGAGGCCGGCCTCGCCCGACGCCGACGAGACCGGCGAGGTCGAGCCTTGCCTGCAAGGCGAGGCCGGCCTCGCCCGACGCCGGCGAGGTCGGCTCGCTGACGCCGGCGAGACCGGCCTCGCCCGACGCCGGCCGAGGCGGCCTCGCCGGCCCGGGGAGGCGGCCTCGCCCACGCGGCGAGGCGGCCTCGCCTCGAGGCCGGCGACCTCACGCCGGCCGGTATGGCCGGAGGAAGAAAAAAAAAAAAAAAGAAAAGGAAAAGGAAAAGGAAAAGAACAAAAACAGAAAAGGAAAAAGAAAGAAAATAATAAAGTTAATGTCTTGCGTCTTAGGAACAAGAACTTTCTGCTACGGCAGTATTTTGGCACTGGGACCCAGGTCCTTATTTGAGACATTTTGGGCACTTCGGATCCTTATTTGAGACTGATTGAGTACTTCGGGCCCTTATTTGACACAATGTTCACTTTAGACCCCTTTTTGAGAATTTGACCCCACTTGGGGTTTTTAATTGAAATTTTCCCTTACCGCTTGAACCAGGTCACGTGACAGCCACGCGGTCGAGAAGGCGGGAGCGCTCTTTCTTAAAACCCAAAACTCTCTCTCTCTCTCTCTCTCTCTCTCTAAAACCGCTTTCTTCTTCTCAGCATTCGATCGAGCAATTGCCAGTCGAATCCATCGCCAACCCTCGCAATCTGCTCCGTCTTCTCCCCCTCTCTCGCTCATCGATCGCCACCGACCGCGCTCTTCCCCTCCGTCGAACGATGGACGAGCCGGCTCTGCGGCTCGTCGCCGACGTCGGCGCCCAGATTCTCCGGCAGTCGCGCCCGAACAAGGATTTTCTGGTCAAATCTCTCCGTGTAAGCCTAAACCCGAGACACTCTCATACTTGTACAAGCGTAACAATTGCATTTCGCCAATGGAATGTGAAGTTGTTTGTAGTCCCCGACCACTTGGGCCGTGTCTGTTCGGTTCATTTCTCTCGCGCCGAAGCCATGAAGGCATACGATGCCGAGTTAGTGTGCTGTGTTTGGTAGCTGGTAGAGCGGGGGAACTAGAATGCGAGGCCCAGTCTTAGTTATTGCTGTGCGTTTGTGCTTTCGCCGTCGTAATAGCTTTTTCAGGCGCGCTCCAGCTGATTAGGCATTGGAGCGTGGAGTTTGTGGTTGAAGTCGTGTTTATCGTTTTTGTTTTGGTAAATTTTTCAAGCTTCCCCGTTAATAGTTCTTTCTTCTGTTCCGGCAACATCTCATTGCTATTTTCTTTTTCCATTTTCTGTCGGGTGGGAGTGATGAGCAGAGATTTATGCGTAACCTAAATTCACGCCTCACTTCTTCGTAACTCTCAAAATGATCAATCAGAAGAGTTCCGCAGTGTGCAATTTCTGGCACCTACTGTTAGCCTGTCGATTGGGTGGAGATTACTTGTTTATTGTATGAAGATGATCTAACGCCTGTTTCCGGTAATTCTTGTTTTAAATTGTCCCGAGCTTTTGCCATCTCTTTCTTGAAGTGTTTGGTTTATGTAGAAGCTTTCGAGGAATCGTATATGATTTGCCAGTGCAACCACGAATTTTCTTTGACATATTTTAACACATTTTTCTGCAGAAAGCTGCAAGTGCATTGTCCCAAATAGAGCAACCTTCAGTGCTTGAGGCTGCTCGGCAGGTAGAAGCCACCAAAAAGGTTCAAGATTCCTTAAAGCCTTTAAGGGAGACAATAGTGAAGCATTCTCTCGCTCGGCATAAAGACAGGGATGTTAGGCTTCTTGTCTCCATATGTGCAAGTGAAATCTTTCGAGTCATGGCCCCTGAGCCACCTTTTGAAGACAAGTATATTCCAGTAAGAGATTTCTTCACTGAGTTCTTTGGTAGCCACCTGTGTTTCTTAATTATTGCTGCAGATTGATGATGTCAGTTCTCATAAACTGCTCCATTTGTTTTGTATGCATATTCTGTATATAGTGTTGTGTTCAAGATGTGTGGACTGTATTATTGCAGGACATCTTTAAACTCATTGCTAGCATGTTCGAGGAGCTGGCTGACACAGAGAGCCCGTACTTTTCGAAGAGGGTTAAAATTCTAGAGACCGTTGCACGTTGTAAATGCTGGGTGGTAATGTTGGATAGCGAGTGTAGTGATCTTATTCTTGAAATGTTCAATGTCCTCTTCTCCACTGTGAGGTAAACTCTCTCATATTCTCTTTCCAAACGTATTTGTGCTATCTCTTTGTCCTTAAGTGGCATAATAGATCTGTATAACATTTAATACGTTATATGATATGACGATTCTTCCTTCAACCCATCTTTTGTTAGAGAAAGAGAGTGAAATTTTTATGGTTGAAATTCGCGGAGCATGTAATTTTCACGGGTCAAGTCTAGAGCTAGTGAACTTGGCTTTAGCATTTGCAATCATGCAAAATGATGTTTCCATGAAAATTACATATCTGCTTCTTATTGGCCCTTTCACCCGGAATGGGAATGCCACTAAAATCTAATGACAATTTTAGCAAGCTAATCATTAAGAAGTCTTTGTTATTTCATTCGGTATTTTCACTGTAATGATTACCCATAATGCATTGGAAACATTGAGATGTTTGAAAAGTAAAATGTTTCGGCTTCCACCAGATTTGGACTTGAGTTTTTTAAGTAGTCGATGTATATAATTTTGGTCAATGATTAGGTTGGATGGCACAAATAATCCTTTTTGTCTTCCTCATTTTCCTTACCATTTCTTTAGGCAATATGTGACACTCTCTTCTTTCCTTTGTAGAGAAAAACATGAAAAGAGTTTGATTAATGATATCATGTCGATATTGACACATATCATCGATGAGGAAGCTTCTGAGCAGCTCTTGGAAGTGATACTGCGAAATCTTTTGAAAGAGGAAAAGGTAAGTGCTGATGGAGTCAAAGTTCATCAATTTGTGTTCAGTGCTCAGTGATACTGCCACGGGCTTGCATACAAATGCTTCATTTTGTGTCTTTCTGTTTGAGTGTGTGCATGTGGTGGTCCATACAGCATATATATTCATAGGATGTCTGGTCATTAGTGAAGTTGCTTTCACTCTTGTTTGAAAGTTTCAACTTACTCTCTTCTGAAGTATACACTATTCATGTACAGGGTGTACCATCTGCTTCTTCTCAGCTTGCCGTCTCTGTCCTGCAAACTTGTTGCCAGAAGCTTGAACCCTTCGTTCGTGGTTTTTTAACATCCTGCATCATGGAGAGAGATGCTGAAGGGAGTGAGCTTAGAGAGACTTACCATAAAATAATATTTAAAATATTCATCTTCACTCCTCACATGCTTTTTGATGTCATCCCAAACCTGACACAAGAGTTACTGGTATTGGCTTCAATTGGAGGACTTTAGTCACGTTAAAGTGTTTACATTTTAGAAAATCACTTTTTTTCCGCGTTCTTCTACTTGCTTAGAAGTTAAACGCATACTTGTGTGTGCACTGATCACTTATTCTCTGTGTAGACTGATCAAGTCGATGTTCGAATAAAAGCTGTAAGTTTGATTGGGAAAATCTTTGCTGTGCCTGGATGCCGAGCTGCGCAGAATTATCACGATCTTTTTGTAGAGTTTTTGAACAGATTCTCTGATAAATCTGTGGAAGTTAGAGTTACAGCTTTGCAATGCGTAAAAGATTTCTGTACAGCCAACCCCACTGGGGCTGAATTACAAGAAGTTCTTTGTAAGCTGTGCAGCAATCTAACATGTTCATTTGCTGTGGCATTAGTTCTTGATTTTGTGGTTTTCCCTACTTTACGCATCTCATATATTGATAATACCTTGGGCAGCTGCACTTGAGGGCCGACTATTGGATATAGATGATAGAGTGAGGATACAGGCCGTGGCAGCTATCTGTGATCTGGCCAAATGTAATTTAAAGTTCATTCCACTCACACTGATATCTCAAGCAGCTGAAAGACTTAGAGATAAGAAGGTACTTTTCTTAAGGATCTACCTTTGTGGCCAGTAAGAGCTGTCCTAACTCCATAACGATCTCTTAAATGCAGATATCTGTGAGGAAGAAGGCCTTGCAGAAGTTGATGGAAGTGTATAGGAGTTATTGCAGCAAGTGTGCTCAAGGCAACATGACCATAGTTGACCACTTTGAACGGATTCCATGCAATATATTGACGCTTTCCTATGATAGAGATTGTAAGGAATTCAGGTATGCATACATATACCTTCTGTTCCCTGGTGATCAAATTGACATTTCGCCAATTGTGATGCAATTTTATGTGTTTTAGGTCCCAAAACATGGAGCTTCTACTTGCCGAAGATTTATTTCCTGATATTTCTTTAATGGAGAGAACAATGCATTGGGTGCACATGTTTTCTCTGTTCACATCTCTGCATGTCAAGGCGTTGGATGCTATATTGTCTCAGAAATGGAGGTAGGCAGAAGTAGTAGATGCTGCATTAGGCAGATTGAAGCATGGTTTACTAACAAAACAATTGTACTTGCAGGTTGCAGTCTGAGCTAAGAAATTTTTTGGCTCTAAGAAAGAAAGAGAAGGTACTTTGCTTGAATACTCACATTCTATTCTTGTTTTGTTTTGAAGTTGGGGGCAGACTGTCATGCTGATCCTTTGTCATATGTGTCTACGTTTGTCCTGGAGTCCATTATCGATTCCTGGTGTAATTTTTTCCTTGATATTCAACTAAAGCACGATGAAGGTCAAGATGCGCGAATCTGTATGCAATTGAAGTAATTTGATTGTAGCTCTAGGTATCTCTTTCCCGTTACTTGACATTATGTCATTTAAAAAGGATTTTTCGTAACGTGAATATCTTTGCTGGAGTTGACTACCTGAATGAGAATGGAAATTGAAGTTCTTGTTTAGTCTTGTTTCTCTTGAAGATTGGTCATTATGTTGGAGTACTCGTGAGTTTAAATTGGTGGTGCAGGAGACCTGTTCGGATGAACTGGCAAAGAAAATCAAAGCATCATTTGAGAGAATGTCTGCATCATTTCCAGATCCCGCCAAAGCAGAGGAGTGCTTTTACAAGCTAGACCAGATGAAGGATAATTATATTTTTAACTCGCTTGCTCAGCTATTGGATGAAGCATCAATTATAAAAGCTCAACATGCCCGAGTGCGTTGTCATCCTTACTCTTTCTCTGGGCTATATATGTATTCACTTTATCATCCATCTATTTTGGCATTGCTGCCTCTTCCAAGTTGTTAAGTGATTATGCATTACTTGCCTCAATTATTTTACCTTCAAACCACCCAGATTCATTTGTCAGATCCAACTAGTTAACTGAACATGTGATGCATTCGCTTTGGCATACTTAATTGAGAAAACAATGTGAGTTTGTCTTGTAAAATTATAATTAATCTGAGAAGTGTCTTGTCAGAACAAACTTTCACTGAATCAAGGCATCAACTTCCAATAGTAATAATGAAAGAGGTGAATTAATTAAATCCTAACTTAGGAAGGACATTGCCCGAACCCCTTAAATCTGAGTGGACCAACCTAAAAGGATTCGCAGTGGTTTATCATTTGACACTGTGTAAGGAACGTGATCATTGTTCCATGAGTGACATGATTTAATTAAGAGCTTGTTGGCAGTGCTGTAGCATCTTGCTTAGCTGTTGGTGTTCGTGGTGTTTGTATCACGGCTGTGGCTATTAAATACATTTGAAAACAAATAGTTTAAGGTATTGTACAATCTTCAAACTATGAAGAAGTGTTTTAGATAAATGATATTTTTGTCTGAGTAGACCCTCAAAACATGCTCTGGAAGCACCTATAAGGTGCTTTTTAGAAGCCAATTTGGGAGTGTCATGGCTTTGAGGTGTCGTTAAATACATGAAAAGAGCCAAAACACTTCTCAAAAAGCCAAAGCTACCTCGCGCAACACTCCTTAACATCATCCAAAGTAGATAATAACCTAGAACCAGACTAAATGATATAACTTATCCAAGGACCATTATGATCATAAATAGGGATCTTTGGCAGCAGCAAACACACAATGTTAGATACTAAAGCCAGCTTATTTAAGTTTGAATCCAGTAAAACTTTCTGGTTAGTGTTCTGCCTTGTATTTCAGTTAATGGAAATACTTTGTATTGATTGTTCTTGTCTGCTCACCTTCTTTCAGGAAAATTTTGTGAAAAAGATCAGGGATAGACATCCACATGTCGATTTTTTGCATTTACTGAGTGCCAAGTGCATCTTCAGCATATTCAGCTCAGAACATGCAGAAAATGTACTAGATTATCTTTCCAGTGGGAGATTTGGAGGCAGACATTTGGAGGTTTCTTCGATCAAACTACTTATGGTAAGAATGTGGCGCTATTCATTCTAGGGAGTATGGCAAAGTAATAGGTACCCTTTGATAGTGCGAGATTCAACTACTAACCCAAAACTCTTGCAGATGAGGAACAGATGATAGATTGTCAATCTGAAGGGTCTACAGTGCAAACAAAAACTCATAAGAAAGAATAGTTACAAAGGAAGTATTTGAATAGTTTAAAAATTGAATCTTCCAATTGGCAGAGGAGGAACAGATGATAGACCTCCGCTGTCATGGATATCTAACTCTTCAGGGATCTGTTTGTGGACTGGGGGAGAGGGGGGTAGGGGTGTTTGACGGTTTCTTCTTTTGTTGGAGCAATAGGATTGAGAGATAATCTCTTGCATGTCCTTTTGTCTTTCATCTGGTTTTATTTGTGCATTTTAGTCGACATGTAGTAGAAATCAGGTCTTTTAATTGGATAAATTGTCTTAAAACCTACAATATCATATGAAGGGATCAAGTTAAGAGGGATTAGCTTGAGCTTAATTTGACTGCTTGTTAGAATAATCAATGCAAGCAGCAGAAAGTTTACTCTAGAGCCGCAAGTGAAAATTTTAAGATGAGTTCATGGAAATAATCGCATAAGAAATATTTTCCTTCCATTCTCTAGTAGACTAAATATGAGCTCTAAGTGCATCCCTGATGCAAATGCAGTTAATTGGAAATTCTCTTTTTCTTGACGCGATTCATTGAATTTGTCAATGGATTAGAAGATATTCTGTACTGAAGCCTTTATATTAGGTTGAATCCTAACAATTTTTACTCTTTTATTAAAATTGGTTAGGCTATTGTTCGTTACTGCCCCTCCCTCCTCAAAGGTTCAGAAGCGAAGCTCTGTTCATTATTAGAGAGAAATGAGCCCTATCGTGATCAACTGACCGAAGTCTTAGCTATAGCAGGCAGCCACATTTTTGTCAAACTCAGGTAGTTTTTGAACTCTGTGAATTCACATGTTGGACAGAATCTTATATGGTTTAAGTTATATTTGTGGCATCCTTTTATTTCCTGTCATATTATAATACACCCTATGGAAATTTTACAGAATGCCCATATGCTTTTTTGAGTGAGTCTTTTAATTGAAAGAAAAATAACATCCGGTCAGAGATGCTTATATCATTTCATGCAATGACCGGTTCAAGATCCATTAAAGGTTGCTTGTTGCTTTTACATTCGTAGGAGAGAAAATTATTCACTGTGTATCTCTTAATATTTCCTTTTCCATTTCAGAAATGAAGTTTTTTTTTAAATTTTTTTTTGAATAGATTGGATTTTAGTAAGTGCTACGGTATACCTGTTTTTGCGGAACTTCCACTTTAAACTTTCTCGTTCTGCTAAACTTGTGAGAGGATTGTTTTCATATGTAGTTTGGGCTTCTAACGGGAATACTCAAACTTTTCTTCACTTTGCAGTGATATTTACCCAATGTTGGAGCAAATGTGCCTTGAGGGTACTCGTGCTCAATCGAAAGTTGCTGTTTCCGCAATTGCTGCTGTCATGGGCAGTTCGGAGCAATATATCTTTTCAGAACTAACCAAGGTAAATTTATAATCTTAAAACGGAAGTTTTTGTACATGGTGGTGTTTGGATATGAATTTGAGTCAATGGTTCTCTTCTGGGGCCAAAGTTATGAGGCAAAGGTTCAACGGGAGATTTAGCCATTTAGGTAGCCTTTTAATTGTTCACTCAAGTCCTTGGACTGTCTGAATGAAATTTTTTAAGTTCCGTCTCATCATCATCATTCTCTCTCTTTATCTGGCGACTAGTTTAGTCCAGTCAGAGTGCTATGTTGTTAAAGCAAAGAAATGGTATGGTGTATTGGCATTTATTGATATCACTAATAATGCTTGCTTGATGCATCTCGCACACCAGAGACTGGTGGATTCATTGCATAGTGGGAAGAATCTACCCACTGTCTTGCAATCTTTGGGATGTCTTGCACAACATTCAACTGCCACCTTCGAAGATCTAGATGGAGAGATTACTCCACTTATACTAGAGAAAACTTTTGAGGTACTTTGTACAAGCTGCAATATATGCTTACTCATGCTTTAGTTTGTATCAGGTCTGATCTTTTGCCAAATCCCCATTCACTTGTTTTTTCTTGGAAACTAATTTGCCTAATGGTTAATATTGTGTTTTGTAGATGAATTTGCTGGACGGTTCAACTTCTGGGGATGAGACATCTGGTTGTAGCAATTCCTGCAAATTGAGGGTAATGTTGAGAGAAATTACGTATGTGTTAACGTGCAAATTTGATGATTTTTCTCTGTAAATTTTGGTTTCTGGTATTTCCTTATATGGGGTTTTCAGGATCAAAATTACAGTGCAAAAGTCAAAATGAGAAATTATCAAAGAACTTGAGATTTGCTTGACGAAAAGCAAATGAACTTTGGCATTGCAGAGAATGTTGAATAGCTAATATACAATTGTTGACTGAAGTTAACGGAGAGTAGAATCTCCCTACCCAGTTACTTGACTTTGGAGTTAGGGCTCATAGGTACTGTTGCCACCACATTCTTATCGAGCCATACATTTTCTTGTGTGTTTTATCAATACTTGACCATCAGTAACATCAAGTTTGCTAACTGAAGAGCACTATCATTCCCTCAATCTTAAAAGAAGCAATAGCAGATTTAAGAGTGCATGTTGCATATGGCTGCCCAATTTGCTGTTCAAACAACTGATTGCAGCTCAGCTGGATCACTAGAATGATTGCTTGTGAGATTAGCAGTTAACAAATGTTTAATTCCTATTCTTCCTATGAATGAAAGAGCCAACTGCAATGCCAACACTAAAAAATTCCGAATTAAGTACCTTAAAGGAGTAAAAGTCTACTGTGTTAAGTCTGAGTTTCTAATTGTAGTGTAGCTTTTAGTTTCCCTCAAGGAACAAGGGTACGGCCTAGTCTTGGTCCACCCTTACCCAAACATGAGGGCTTGGATTTGTTTCCTGTCTTTCCCCTTCCCACATTTACCTAGCAAAAAGAGTATGTAGCCAGATGATAGACAGCTCTATCCTCTTAAAAAATTTGGCTATAAAGAGTATGCTTCCTTGAGGGTGATTTTTTGTTGGCAAAGGAATGAAGGTCAATACTGGTAAACTGTATTTTTAAGAGTATAAAAGTTGCGAGCGTTAACTTTAAGACTGAGATTGCAACTGCCTTTTTAGCTTTTGGTCAACAAATTACAAATGACCCCATACAAGACTGAATTTTTTTATTGTGCAAGGAGATGGTCCTATAAAGGATTGCAAAAGCCAAACTAAACTTTAAGTGGATTTTCTGCAAAAACTTGATAGAAACACTGTCCCCGGGCCCCGGTTCATGTGAAAGAAGATACAGCCGTAGTGCTTAGGAGTGATGAATGAGAAATAGTCTGTAGCCTATCTCCAATTCTGTTTGGGCTTTTAATGATCTAAGCTCTTGCAATTAGAAAAAAGCTTTTATTGATAAGTTCATTATGAATTTTGACTTCCTCAGGATAATCTAAGCTTATACTCATTTATCTCTTGCCTGGTGCAGATTTATTGCCTGAAAACTCTAGTAAAAAGCTTTTTGCCTCATCGTGGCAGTCAAGTGAGGAGAAATATTGACCATTTGTTGAGCTTGTTGGTAAAAATGTTGCAAGAAGGAAAAATTTCTGATTCTGTCCTTTCCAGGTATTATTTATTACTAAAGAATCTGTGTTTTTTATCACATGCATTCTTCTTCTAGTCAATCCTGTCATTGGTGTCCATCCACAAGTGCTAGCCAATTTGCTGTATGTGAGCAGTGTTTTGACAAATTTAAATCATAGTGATATCGGTCGTGTTTTTTTTTTTTATGCTTGGCACTCAAAATTGATTTTCTGTTATTCTATTTAAATCAACTGAGGTTAAACACTTAAATCGCCAAAAGAGAGACTTGGGGAATATTCTTTTTCATTTAAAAGTATTTTCCTAATTAGCTTGATTCCCCATTTCTATTTTTGTCTGCATGCTGCTGCATGGCCAAGGAGCCCCACACTCCAAAGGGGCAATTCTTAGAGTTTCTTTATTTAAGCAGCTCTTGTTTTGTTTGATGTGTCTAATTAGGGACCTTTTGAATAAAAGAAATTCAATAAAAGACTCCATAGTATTCAGTTAATCACCTTTTTGTTCCTTTTCTTTATCCAAATAACTGATAACATTTGCAGCAAGTGGAGAAGAACAATATAGGGCATAGTTGCGTATTCTTGTTACGGTGAAAAGAAAAAGTTGCAAGGACCACAACATGTTTTGAATGCTAATTTTGGTGAAGAAGTATGAGACGAATAGATCACTTAGGTGATTGTTCTTTTGGGGATGGGGTGTTCATTGAGAAGGACACGCGAAACTAGAAAAAACCTCATCCCAAATTCATGAGAAGCCAGACTGCATTTACCCTTCTCAATGGACACCCCTCCCCCAAAATATCAATGCTTTCATCATGCTTCTTTCTTTCTTGTTGAAAGCTTGCCTAGATAACTCATTTTTCTTGTCGGTGCCTTGCTTGTTGGAGATGCAGTGGAAACGACTCTTCTCATATAAGACTGGCTGCAGCAAAATCTGTTCTTAGGCTTTCGAAGAGATGGGATTTACACATATCTCCAGAAATATTTCACTTTACAATCTTAACTGCAAAGGTACACTGCACTCACCTTAGACCCCTTGCTTAATGCTTCGAAGAATTTTCCAAATTATAACTACAGCATTGAGGATATCACTTGAACTAAATTTAACATTGTTATAGTCCCTTTTCACATATGTTTCTAATATGTTGATGATGCTATGATTTACGACGTGGCACAAAGAGAAACTTCTATGTTTGAGTCATGCTTGTTTAGGTTTCAGTTCTTTAGGTTACTGGAAGTTCTTGCTGGAAAATATTACTAATCCTCATTGAGATAGTTAGGACCAAGTTCTAATTTTACTCTGTGATCATGGAAAGAAAACTGTTTGTCCCAAGATTGTGGGTACTGGCCTTTTAGCTGTGGAATAAGATGACTCATCTTTCCATTTTCGGGAGCTGGTCAAGGATCTTCTTTTCTTGCTTTTTATCCTTTTCTTTCCCTGTTGTCAGTAAGGTTGGTTGTAATGAATGTATTTCAAGTACCTTCTCAGTGACAACTTTGTCAGTTAAAGCTATTATCTGTCAACAATTTTTCTGCATTTTATCCCTATAGGAATATATCTGGGCATTGGACAAATCAATAGCTTATCTTTGTATTTTTTTTAGTTATCAGGATTTTCCAATCATTGCATAAACTCGTGTACACAGCTGCTACCTACTCTTACATGACTCACATTGTATCTGTTACTAAGCTGATTAGAGAACCCGCAGAAAAATAACGAGAGAAAAGAAGGAAGAGAGAAGAAAAAGAGAGGAGAAGAAGAGAGAAAGAAAGAGATTGTAAAATCCAAGAAAGGGGCTCTTGGTTTCTGTGTGTAACAGAAACCCTACACCCATCACGATATATTTATATTAAATATGAATTGTATATGACCATAATGCCCTTATATATGTAAAAAGGAATAAAACCTAGAAAATAAAAATAATTCTACTCTAACACTCCCCTCAAGTGGAGCATATAGGTCACCCATGCCTAGCTTGGAACAACCAGCAACAAAGGCAGGACGAAACAACGCTTTAGTGAACATATCAGCAAACTGATCTCTAGAGGCAACGTAAGGAGTGGCAACCAACTTCTGCTTCACAGCATCACGAACAAAGTGACAGTCAACTTCTATATGCTTAGTTCGCTCTTGAAAAACAGGATTTCCAGCAATATAAATAGCTGCCTGATTATCACACATCATATCAATAGGATGATTAATAGAAAATCCAAGCTCCTGGAGAAGAGATTTCAACCACAGCAATTCAGCCACAGTTTGTGCCATAGCACGATATTCAGCCTCCGCACTAGATCTGGCAATGGTAGTCTGTTTTTTGCTTCTCCAAGTAACCAAATTACCACCAAGAAAGGTGCAATACCCAGTCGTAGACCGCCGATCACACTTTGACCCACCAATCAAAGATCGAATAGCCAACTAAGGTGGAAGAACCATTCGGTTTATAAATCGAGTCCCTTACCAGGAGAGCCTTTAAGATATCGAAGAATGCGACAAACAGCATCCCAATGAGCCTTCTTGGGTGATTCCATAAACTGACTCACCACACTAACAGCAAAAGAAATATCGGGACGTGTAACAGTAAGATAAATTAGTTTCCCAACTAGACGCCGATACCGATGTTTATCTTCAGTATCATCTCCATCATCAACTCCAAACTTTTGATTTGGATCCATAGGAGTATCAACTGGCTTGGAAGCTAGTGTACCAGTCTCAGATAAAAGATCAAGAACATACTTTCGCTGAGACAAATTAATACCTTTCCTACTTCGTAAAACTTCAATACCTAGAAAATACCTAAGAGCTCCCAAGTCTTTAATCTGAAATTGCTGTTGAAGAAAAGATTTAACCTCAGAAATTCCGGTCGCATCACTACCAGAGACGATTATATCATCCACATAAACAACAAGAATGACCACTCCCGACTCCTTCTTGCGAACAAAAACAGAATGATCAGAATAACATTGGTGAAAACCACACTTGGAAATCACTGAACTGAATTTCTCAAACCATGCTCTAGGAGATTGTTTCAACCCATAAATGGCTTTATGTAGCCGGCATACTTTACTGCGATCCTCCCCCTGGGCAACATACCCATGAGGTTGCTCCATATATACTTCTTCAGACAAATCACCATAAAGAAAAGCATTCTTGACATCCAATTGATATAATGGCCAATCAAAATTCACAGAGAAGAGAAATAATAACACGAACAGAATTGAGACGTGCCACGGGGGAAAAAGTCTCAAAATAATCCACTCCATAAGTTTGAGTAAAACCTTTAGCAACGAGCCGAGCTTTGAGACGCTCAACTGAGCCATCCGGGTTATACTTGATAGTGTACACCCAACGACACTTCACCACATCTTTCCCAAGAGGAAGATCAACCAAAGACCACGTTTGGCGGGACACCAAAGCTTCCATTTCTACATCCATAGCTCTCTTCCACTCGAGATGAGACAAGGCCTCAGTGGTAGAAGTAGGAATTGTGTGAGTATGTAATGATAGAGCAAAGTCATGTAATGGAGAAGGAAGATGTGAAAGAGACACATAACGCTCGATAGGGTAAGCAAAAGAGGATTTTTGTGTACAAGAACGAGTACCTTTGCGAAGGGCAATCGGAAGATCGTCCGGACCAGGAGACAAGGAGGGAGATTGAACGGAGGGCACGGAAGAGCTGGAGACCGGTGGTGCCGTAGACTGCTTTCGCCGCTGATATACCTGCAAGGGAGGAGGTACGGAAGGACTAACAGAATCTAAGGGAATAAGTTGTGGAATAGGAGGATCAGCTACAATGTCAGTTGAAAACTCTTTACCCTCGTAGAATAGTATGGTGTGCCCTCGAAAAAAGTAACGTCGACATCGACATATTGAGCACAAGTCATAGGATCATAACACCGATATCCCTTTTGAGTACGTGAATACCCGAGAAAAACACATTTAGTAGCACGAGGGGATAGTTTATCAGCACCAGGTCGTAGATTATGGACAAAGCAGACACACCCAAAGACACGCGGGGTAAGAGGAAATAACGGCTTGTCAGGAAATACAATACTGATTGGTGACTGTTGATTGAGGACAGTGGAAGGCATACGATTTATAAGGTAACAAGCAGTAAGGACAGCATCACTCCAAAATGATTTTGGGACATGCATATGTAACAAGAGTGAACGAGCAACTTCTAGAAGGTGACGGTTCTTTCTCTCGGCCACACCATTCTGCTGAGGGGTATAAGTACAACTTGTTTGATGTATAATGCCAAGACTAGAACAAAACAAAGAAATTGATTTTTGTGAGTATTCTAGAGCATTATCTGTTCGCAAAATTTTAAGGGATGTATTAAACTGATTAGTAACTTCACGATGAAATAATTGAAAAACATGTAAAAATTCAGAACGATCATGAAGCATATAGAGCCATGTTAGACGAGAATAATCATCCACAAAAGTAACAAAGTACTTAAAACCATTTCTATTAGCAACACGGGAAGGTCCCCAGATGTCTGAATGAACAAGTTCTAATAAAGTAGATGCACGAGAATCACTACGACTAGGAAAAGAACTACGATGATGTTTCCCAAGTTCACAAGCCTCACACTCAAGAGTAGAAATTGATTTACACTCGGGAATTATTTGTCAGTAACTTAAATAAAGATAAATGCCCTAAACGGGAATGCCATAATAGGGGGTAATAGGACTAGCAGCCTAGACCATTGGCGTCGCAATGGAGACACCATCCGATAATAAAGTCCATCATGTTCATGCCCTCCACCAATCTTCTTCTTTGTCTCAAGGTCCTGAAAAATGCAATAGGAGGGGTAAAATGTAACAGAACAACTAAGATTTTTAGTTAACTGACTAACAGATAACAAATTCAAAGGAAGTTGGGGAACATGTAAAACGGAGGACAAGGATAAGGAGGGTGTAAGTGGAACAGCCCCTGATCCAACCACTTGAGTAGAGGAACCATTAGCTAGAATAACTTCAGGTGAAGGACTAGAGTTATGGTGGGAAGAAAATAATTCTTGCTTACCGGTCATATGACTAGAAGCTCCCGAGTCAATGACCCAAGAGGTGCCAGGAGACAAAGTAGAGAAAAAGGCCATGTTACCTGTACGTGCAAGAGTGGCAGTAGATGAGAAATTGGAAGCCTCCAGTTGTTGGACACGCTTGATGAGTTGTGCGACCGTATCATCCCGAGACGCGGACTCGGAAGAACTACCCCACTTGGGATAGATGGATTCGTGTTGCCGTAAGACACATTTCCAAAGACTCCCTTCACCATAGCAGCATTTGCAAGAACTAATCGCCGAGCCCACTCGGCTTGCCATGCTTGGCCCAACATGTGTCAACAATATGACCAGATTTGCCGCAGTATATACACTGACGGCTATCTCGATCAGAATTTTGTCCACTACGTCCACCACCACGACCGCGACCTCCCCCTAAACCACGACCTCTATTAGAAAATCCACCACGACCACGAACACCACTACTAGCCACAAATGCTGAATTATCTTTAGATGATGTAGAAGACGGAGGGACAATGCGCTGAATCCGACAAAATGCTTCATTCATAGAAGGAACTCTCTCTCCAGCAAGAAGCTGACTCTTCATAGGCTGTAAGTCAGCATTCAAGCCTGATAAAAACTTGGCCACCTGAAATTCAGCTCGTTGTGTCTTTAGTGTCTCAAGATTAGTAGTGATGGGCTGATAAAGATTAAGTTCTTCCCACATGCCTTTCAAAGCACTATAATACTCTCCAAGAGACTTGTCCCCCTGTTTAAAATTAAAGATCTTCTCATAGAGCTCATAGACTCTAGACATGTTTTTGTCTTGTGAGTAACTCTCCATAAGATCATCCCACACTCCCTTGGCAGTTGTGTGGAACATGACATTAGCAGCAATGGATGGTTCCATGCTATTCCATAACCACACCAAAAGTGTATCATTCTCTCTCATCCATCTATAGTCTTTAGAGTTTTCAAGGGGGTTACGTAGTAAGATAATTAAGTTTCCCTTTGGCATTAATATAAACCTTCACAACTTGAGCCCATAGCAAGTAATTGGAGGATCCATTCAATTTAATGGTGGTAATCTGAACATTGACACTGTCCGTAGAAGACTTAGTGCCATTCATGGTGAAAATCTCAATATAAATATATCTACCACCGATCAAAAAGGCCGAAACTTCAGTGCAAGAAATAAAACAGCAATACCAACATATAATCAGATGCGACTGGCTCCATCAATCAAACAAAGGGATGCTGAAATTTTATAAATATAGGCTGCATAATCAACGAAATACCCTGATCCTTGAATCTGCTGATCAGGAAGTGTTGTAATCCATTGTCACAAACAGAACCTGATAAATCTGATTTCTCCTGATCTTATATGTATCGGGACTTGAAGAGAAAATAGGTAAAAATTGTAGCTTTAGGTGGCTACGCACCAGAGAAGGAATAGGGTTATTAGGGGACTCTCAAACCAGCAATAGGACCAGGGAATCAGGTAGTCAAACCGTGCTCTGATACCATGTTACTAAGCTGATTAGAGAACCCGCAGAAAAATAACGAGAGAAAAGAAGGAAGAGAGAAGAAAAAGAGAGGAGAAGAAGAGAGAAAGAAAGAGATTGTAAAATCCAAGAAAGGGGCTCTTGGTTTCTGTGTGTAACAGAAACCCTACACCCATCACGATATATTTATATTAAATATGAATTGTATATGACCATAATGCCCTTATATATGTAAAAAAGGAATAAAACCTAGAAAATAAAAAATAATTCTACTCTAACAGTATCCTTCTCTGACATCACTGCTGTAGTCTTACCTGCTTTAGTGATGTTCCTCTCATTTCACAGTTCATCTTATTCATATTAAAATGTGTGTACTTTTTTTCAGGATCCTTCTTCCTTGGTCAGGAGAATTTTCATAGATAAAACACGTAAACTACTAAGGGAGCGCGGTATTCCAAATAGATACGCATGTGCTTTTGCATTGGCCACTTCTGATTGCGTCACAGATATAAAAGATGATGTATGTTTTTGTCCTTATCCATCATTCTTCATTACTCTTTTTGCTTTGATTTTACATCTGCCAACTGCTCTCTGTTGACGTTGTTCCTTCAGTCTTTCAAATATATGGGAGAGTTTGTTAAGGATCATGCCAGGGAAGCTTGTGGTCACCAGAAATCTTCTGTGCGAGGATGTTCGATCACTGATTTGCCAGTTTACATATTGGTATTCTTAATTCATGTTATTGCGCATGACGAAGATTTCCCTCCTGAAAAATATCAGGACGAACACATATTCTGTCACTTTTGCAGGTAGATTCAAGAGTGAATGAACTTTAGTGCTCTATAGTTTGCTAATTATACTATACAGATGTTGTATTATGACAAGGCTTGGATAATTTTCCTTTGCAGCCCTCTTTTTCACCTCATACAGGCTTTAGTAAACCCGGAGAATGTCAATGGTGATTTGGTTCTCATTGCTGACACTTTCTCGCAATTGTTTAGTATATTTAGAGGGATTAGAAAAGCTGAGGATGCTGTTGATGCTCATAAATCTCCTGTACGTGCTTCAATCGCATCCCAATTCTTTATAGCTACAATTTGCGACTTTTTTTTTCATATCATGTAGTTTTCTGATGCAGAGACTGCACATTCTGTCAGAGATTGGAAGTGCCTTTACAAGTTCGTTAAACCAGGGCAGTATGTCCTCATCACATTCCCCTGGGGTTGTATTACTGCCATCATCAGTTTATACAGTAAGTCTCCCAGCAAAATAATAGCAGAAGCAGGTCCTCTAGAAAGTTCATACTTGCCCTGCATAAGAATTTAATCATTTCTTATAGGTTAATACAAAGGGTATTACTCGCTATGCTATCGAAGAAGGACTTGTTGAGAAGATCATTGAGCTTTTCAAGAATAACATCTCCAAGGTACATAGCTGCAGAGAGCATTAGCATTTATGGGATTAGGGATTGTTACATGAATGTTTTTCTGGTTGATTTGTTCACTTTTCAGGTTGCTGGCAGTCTTACTAAAAATGGTAGAAGGTTTGTTGAGCATTGTGAACAACCAGAAAACACGAAGGTGAAAAGATTGAGAAATGTGTATGAGCAAGTCAATTCCTTGACTACTAGAAACTCAAAAATTCAAAAAGATACTGCTAGCAAGATGAGTCTGGGAATGAAACGAAAGCACGTTCCCTCTCCAGATGTGGGTTCTGTTTTGTTGGGCGAAGAGTTTCCACCAATTGTTGAGCATGGAAATGATGGATTCGAACCAACTGTGGACAAAGAACAGCTTCTATCTTCTTGTGATTCTGTAGATAAAGTTACACTATTGACAGAGAAAAAAGCGAAGAGTGGGAAGACTAGTAGAAATAGTACTTCTTTGAAAGAGAATACCGAGGCAGGTAGTAGTGTCACCACTGATTCTAATGCATCTTCCAGAGCCAAGCTTCGCGATCCATCCCGCTTGAAGGTTGAACGAACCTTACCTTAGAGTAGATTTACTTTTGTCTCCGAAGTTCACTGTTCTAAGAGCCTTACAATTGTTCCACACAGGAAACTCGGTGTAATAAAGAGGTGCAAGTTCTGCAGCAAATTAAATTGTTCTCTATAGTTGATGAATGGTGAGAATATCTGGATAGATAGAGATGTTTTTTGTCTTCATATATAATAAACCCTGTTTATGGTGTTCCAGCTCCCATTCATACCTTGTGGATGGTTTGTACTCTGAAAGCTATGATCACTTGGTGAAACTTTTTATGTCAGGAATACATGTAAAATAATTCTATGGAAATGGTGAATTTTGTGCAGAATCTGTAACCAATTGGCATTGATTCTCTTTGCCTTAAAATAGTTGGTATAAAATTGTATATTTGTTCTTTTTGTTAGCTGATATGTTGAGTGCTTTTGTTTTCGTTCTCATGGAGAATAGGTCCACGACTTCTGGCAGCATTGTATTATTATCTGTGTTTTGTTTTCTGTGAAAACCTTTTGCTGTTTATGGATACTGGAAAATGTTATTTTAGTGATGAGTACGATTAGATTCTGTAAGTCATGTGACTGGGGACAGTGAAAGTTATGTTCGTAAAGAAGATTGACTTATCTGTGGAACAAAAACTTCAGGAAGTCTCTCTCTATACTTATTGCTGGTTTAAATACTACAGAAGACGGTATTAATATTTCAAATGGTCAAATGTGCTTAACTTTTGGAATGCATGAAAAGGGATGAGATACTTTGTCATTAGTCTGAAAGAACATTATGTTTATCTTCCTGAGATATATGTCATAGAAATTCTGTTTATCTTCCTGAGATGTAACCTGGTGTTTTTGCTGACCATATATAGATCGGGAAATGTTGGATGGCAGTGAGGAGGATGAAATAATGTGCTTAGAGTGAAACACTGGAGATAATCAAGCGTTGGATGGGTAAGTTTTAGCCATAGCACCTTAGATTTATAAGCTGTACTAGCTGTTTTCAGTATAGTTAAATTTATTATCTCTTGTGCCGGGAACCTATCAAGGTAGAAGATGCAGATACTTCATCATTTGAAAAGCTGAAAATTTTTTGCTGACTCTGCAAATTTTTAATGTTTTCTAATGTCTTTTTATGCCCTTCAAATATCTTTTCTGGGCTCGTTCCTAATATTCGCTCTCCTCTAACACCATGATTAAAGTTTTAAAAACCTGTCAAGCTGTATTTAATTGCTCAGTGGGATTAAGGGATTAATTAATTTAGTTGGACAGAAAGAGATTAGTTGTTGCATTTCTCAGTTTCAGACATGCCTTTCTGCCAGACTGCTATAGATGTCATCATATTTTCTGTAAGGTAAGAAGGTCTGTCTGTTATTAACATTCCATAATGCTGCTCTCATACTTGCAATGACACCTCTGCATCCAGCTAGTTTATGCCTAGACAAGTAGGCATTGTTATGCAAATCCAGAAACTATGTGAATTACAGGTCTCAGATTTCTTTACACGGTATGATAAATATAAGAGCCAGGAGACTTATTCTTAATGAGATCATAGGCAGGGCCAGATTACCAGGGAGTTTCAGTGAGACAGGAGGAGTGGTACTTAAGTTTTGAGTAGATACTTTCTGCATTAAATATGCGGTTCGGTCAAGATTTTGACCTGAGATTGGAGAGTCTCTCGATGGAGTAGAACTGATATTTAAAAGGTGGCAGTAAAACAAAAGGTGGCTGCAGATAGTTTGCTTTAGAAGATTTGTTGCTGTGGATTATCTCTCTGAACTGTGAAAGGTGCATAGTTTTGCTTCTACATGTGGGAAGGAATTTCTTCGACTTTTTAGACAAATTACAGCATCATACGATTATTTATTTGTGATGTTGCATTGTAAAATTTTATATGCCCGATTCAGGCTGCAGAACTCAAAGAGGCAGAAGTTTGGGGCATCATGTGAACTCTCGGGTGACAAGGAAATAGCTCTTGCCCTCTAATGCTATAGGCATAGCAGTTAGTATAATCGTTTGGCAAGTGCCATCCCGGTAATGTTTGGGGTTCCATTAAACATTTTGGTTCTTGTATAGCGTTTTATGATGTCCAGATAAAATGTCATATATAATGCTCGTATAGAAATTGATTGCGTACGGGCTACATGTGTTTGGATCCGACTTATTTGGAAGTCAAAATTAACCAGAAGTTAGATTTCACAAGGTGCTTGAAGGATGTAATTACAGGAAGTGAGTCTTGAATCTCTCTTGATTATTTACAAAGCCACCCGGTCTAAAATTACCAGTCGAGCAAAACATCAGGAACATTTGCAGCTCTCAAGTTCCTTTTTGAGAGTTCATTGGCTGCTTGGTTCCTTATTCCTCGTCCTAGAGGACTTCCATGAAGGATGTCCCATTTAACCAGTTCAATATATGAACCAATCATCGTGCCTAACTATTGAAGATGGCTTGCCACCATCTTCGCTTTTCCACCTGAGATTACGGTTAATATCCCCATCAGCATGTGCTTTGTTCAACTGCAATTCAATACGGAAGATTCATCTTCTTACATAAGCCTCTATTTTCACGTGTTTCGTAATTCTCCACAAGTATAGGTGGATTTTCAATTCTGTAGCTAGTAACTTTTCACTCCGGAGTTACTCATTATCTTGATTGTTAATTGGCGGAACCAGTTGCCTTTCTTTGTATAGTTAAATGATTCAGCGGTGGATGTGACCTCGTTAAAGATTGAAAGATGAACAATTGATATAGATTTATGACATTCGCTCATCTAGATATAGGTGACAAAATGTTAATTAAGTTAATCTGCATCGATTTAATGGATCAAGTGGAATATGGGTCATTTAAAGTTTTAACAATATGTTGGAATAGATTTATAGCGGTAAAGGCCAAACAAAAAATGGGATTCAATGGGTTTGAGATAAATCTATTTTTAACTCCTTAAATAACTCAATTAAGACTCAAAATGCTACCCAATTGAAAATAGTAAAGAGAGAGAGAGAGAGAGCGTATGATGCTTGACCACTCCAATTCAAAGAGTTAGGCCGCCGTCGCCACTTGTGACGACGAACAAGGCAGTAGATCTCCCTTTGTCTCTTAGGTGGCCGACCTTCCCGATCACCGTCAACGCAAACGGTACTAACCACTTGCGATCGCCACCTCGAGGTCACTGTTGGTTGCAAATACTAAATGGGGGACACCGTGACGGTGCCGATTTTGCGGTGGCCTTAGGTCTCGTTTGGTTCAGCTTTCAGCCTAGTATTTGGAATGCCGAAAGCCCAAAGCTAGTCTGGGCTTTCGGCATTCCACAAATGCTGAAATTTTTTTTTCCCTTCCCAAATTACTCTTATTCAAACTTTAATATTCCGATTTTGCCATTTTGCTACTGTTCATCTTCTTCACGAAAGCATAGCCGACGAGGGCGGCCAATGACACCGGATCTAGACGGCGAAGGGCCAGCGAGGTCGCCTGACCCAGCCGACGGCTGCCTAAAGTCGCGCGACCACTCACGCGCCGTCGGCCTGGGTCGTGCGACCCCAAGCGGTTGTCGCCTGGGTCGTGCGACCCAAGCCGACCTTAGGCCTCATCGCCTGAGGTCGGGCAACCCCCGACGACGGTCGCTGAGGTAGGGTGACCCCCGGCGACGGTTGCTGAGGTCGCGCAACCCTCGCCAAGGGTTGCCCGAGCTCGGGCGACGGCCGCTAGTGCCTGATCTGGCTCGCCGGCAGTCGCCCGAGCTCGGGCGATGGCTGCCGGCTCCAGATCTGGCTCGCCGGCGGCCGTAGCCCTTCGCCGGTTCCAGCAAAGGGTAACATTTTTTTTTTAATAAAAAAGGGTCCCAAAGCCCTTTGCAAAAAAACACTACTTTGGTTAAAGTAGCTTCACAAAGAATATTTTACAAAACGCTATTGTATTTCCCCTGAATTTTAACCTACTTAGGCTGTGTTCATTTGCGGAAAACTATTTTTCCGGAAAATATTTTCCGCGTTTTCCGGTGTTCGGGGGCGGAAAATGTTTTCCGTGGGAAAACATTTTCCTTCCTCACCCCCAAATCCTTCATTGTTTTGAGGAAAATGATTTCCTCTTTTCACAAAGAGGAAATCATTTTCCTCCAAATTGAAGGCAAAATTGCCCATGAGAGGAAAAATGTTTTCCGCGGGAGAGGAAGTTGATCGCCGGTCATCGCCGTTGGTCGCCGCCCGCCCGCCCGCCGCCGGCCGCCCGCCTCCCGTCGGTCGCCCGCCGCCGTTGCCCGCCGCCGGCCGCCCGCCTCCCGCCGGTCGCCCGCCGCCGTCGCCGGCCACCCGCCTCCGCCGGTGCGCCCGCCGCCGCCGCCGTCGCCCGCCTCCCGCCGGCCGCCGCCGCCTGCGGTCGCCCGCCGCCTCCGGTCGCCGGCCGCTGCCACCGGTCGCCCGCCACCGTCGCCGCCGCGGTCGCCGGCCGCCGCTCCGCCGGTCGCCGCCGCCGCTGCCGGTCGCCGGCCGACGTCGGTCGTCGGCGAAAATTATTTTCCCGAAACTTTTTCATATTGGTCGCCGAACACCGGAAAATTATGTTCCGGGAAAACATTTTTCAGGAAAATGACTTCCGGGAAAATATTTTCCAAAACATCAAACGAACGGAGCCTAAATGTATTTGTATTCTCCAAAGGTCCCTTCCCAAAGTTGAACCAATCGGCCCTAAGAGTGACACATAGCGCTTTAAGTTGCAAGAGACTGATCAGTCCCGCAAGAAGTACTTTTCTCACATCTTTCGCTCATTGTGCTTTTATCATTCAAAATAACATTAGGTTTAATGAATCTTGATGTTATAATTTAGCAATTATTGAAGACACTAACATTTTTAAACTCTTCCTATGAATTGTTTTCGTTGAATATTTTTATTATATTCTTTGGATATCACACTAATTTAATTGATTTCGTACAACATTTCCTTATTTCATAGAACAACGTCAATTATGAATTTTCTAATTGTTATTGAGTCCCATCGTTTACATTATATGTGATGTTAATTATGAAATATTATCTTTATTTTGTCCGAAAGAGGAAAAATTCATATGAAATATGATACAATTCAACAAGTAATTTAAGTTAAAAAACGTATTCCATTTGTATACAAATGAACAGAATTGACGGACTACCCACCCATCGGTGGTCACGTTGGTTTGCGCTCAGTTCCTTTCACGAGAGGTCCTGGGTTCAAACTCGCCCATCGGTGATTTAAGTGGGGGGCGTGGCGGTGGGATGCTGCGCTAGCCCCCCTCGATGACTAGTTGGGCATCACCGCCGGTTTGAGCCCTGGCTCGCCGGACGCGCGGACACCTCGATTATAAAAAAAAAAAAAACAGAATTGACGGACCACGTGTATGCTACTAGTAAATATTAACGTGAATCTGTTGTTTATTCCAAAATGGAAGATTAGAACCTGGGAAAAACAAAAAAGAAAAAAAGAGAGGGAACAATATAGAAACTCCAGGTTCTTTAACTAGCATTTTCAAGATTACAATTCACTCTGGCGGTTTTTATCACGAACAATCGCATAATTTTATTCGCGCACTGTTTATTAATTCAATTATTGCTTCCCTATTCTATTCATTTTCCCACTATTTACCTTTCAATTGTCACCTTGTTTTTTTTGGTAAGATAAATCCTTTTAATACATGTGTAATGGGGCATACTTTTTAATTAAGTGGGATCATGCGAAATGTCGGGAAAAATTCAAATAAGGAGTAAAACTTTTTAATTTCGTTTATCCCCAGGCGAAGATTTCATCTCGGATCCTCCTCGATAAAATTTCTAAGTCAAGCAGCTTAATGTCGGATATAAAATAAATTAATCATTAGACAAAAAAAAAATAAAAAAATAAAAAAAATAAAAAATAATATATATATATATATATATATATATTTTTCCTTGCCGACAAAATTAAGTGGACGCATACCTTTGAAAATGTTCGTTTTTTTCTTCTTAAAGGGAAAACAACACAAATAGTTCATGTACTTTGACCCAATGTATAATGTGATCCCTAAAATTTTCATTTGTTCAATGTGGTGGATGAATTTTAACTCAATGTGTAATGTTATCCATGAACTTTTAATTTGTTTAATATCGTCCATGAACTTTTGTTATATATTCAATTTAATCCGTGAACTATATGAAAATGTTCAATATAGTCATTTCATTAATTTAAGTTCAGAGACGAACATTAAGCTAAAGTTCAGGGATTATATTGAACAAATTAAAAATTTAAGAACAGCATTACACATTGGATCAAAGTGCAGAAATTATTTATGTCGTTACCCTTTTCTTTGAACCAACTAAAATCCTCCCACGAACATTTCCGCGACCTCGCTCGGGTGAGGACGGGGACTATCACGCGCCCGTGGCAAGGCAAACTGCTTTAGGATGACTGGGGCGATGAACCGCGTGCCATCACAACCGTTGAGCCTGTACCGTCACGTGGGTGAGGGCCCACGAGAGCCCATCGATATAATCAGCTGCGAGGCATCGGATTTCTCTCTCTCCCTGATTTTCTTTTTGCCCCTCTCCCCTGTTAAAAAAAGAAAAAAAACGAAGGCTTTCATTTTTCATTTGGGTCAAAATCCGCGCTGAGTCCTTTCGCCAGGAAAAAGGTAGAAAAAAAAAACGGGAGGAAGGAAGGGAGGTCGCAGTTTCTGCGTCCTCTGCTCAGTCCGAGAGCTTTTCTCCTGCAGCGAAGAAGAAGAAGGGAGGAGGAAGGAGGAGGGTGTTTTGCTCTGAGCGCGAGTCCGAGCTCGCGCTGCTCTCGCGTCCGAAACATGGGCGGTGAATTGAAGACCGACGATCCCATCTCCCGCCGCATCGTCAGAGCTTTCCTCGACTTCCTCTCCTCTGGTCCTCCCTCTCTCTCTCTCTCTCTCTCTCTTTCTCTCTCTCTCTCTCTGAGTTGATGCTGCGCGCAATCACTCCGCTTCCGCTTCCGCTTCTTCGTGTGTCCCCCGCTCTCATTTGGGTCGATGGCTTTCTTTTCTTCCTTCTCGCGGCGGTTAATGATCGATTCGATCGACATTTGCTGCTCGTTGCTGCTGCGCGGGTGTGGTGCATGATCTTAGCTGCAATTCGCAAGAGTTGCCCTGGGAACAGGAAAAAAGATTGCTTTTTGGGCAAGATTTTTCATGGTAGAGGTAGAGGTGGCCCATGCCCTTTTAACGAGCCGCCCGAACTAATTGAGTTACAGCGCGATCGCTCGTCTCGGGTTGTTGTCCTAGTGTCCATTTTCGAGTCCCCAAGCCATTCACATTTCATATGGGTCAGTTTTTCGTCCGCATTTCCATGAATTGTTTGGTCTTAGAACGCCGATGCTGCTTTTCTTTCTTTAACTGAATGGTGTTCTGTAGGGAAGAAAAAGGGGAAGGAGCAAGAATGAGCGCAGTTCATACCGTTCTCCTTCTGGAATTATATTGTTTGAGCGCCATTCGCATGAGCGAATCCTTGTTTCGTAGTGATTGCTGTCAAAGCTTATTCCCGCTTTTGATGGTTGTTTTTTCTTGCTTCGGAATAGTTGAACCCACGCCCGGAGTCGATGTCGAAGGTCTGGAGGTGGCCAGAGAATGCCTAGCGGAGGCCTTCAAGGTGGATTTGTCTTCCGGTGAGGATGACCAAGTTAGACCTGATTTGCTAGTTGAAATGTTCAAATCTCTTCATTCGAGTGAGCATCGACACGACAACTTATGTCTTCAAAGTGGAAGAACTTCAGAGAATGTATCTCGCCCGTCCATTGCTCAAACTTCTAGTGGATTGAATATACTAAAGTCGTCGACGTCTAAGGTCGTGGTAATCTTTTATTGTAATTTCTATTGACTTCTTCTCTTACAAATGCGTTTTCGTATTTTCCGGGTGTATAATTCTGTTGGAGAACCTTAGTAAGTTTCTTTTTTGAGCTTGATATCTTTTATAGCTAACTTTACTTTGGATCTTACCTATTGGTGCTTGTATATCAGTTGGGGACTGAAAATTCTACATTTGGGGGTTCCCCAGGTCATCCTGATTTTTGCCTGATTTTCTACTAGCTAGTAGGAGGTTTTGAACATCTAGAAATATCTATACTTGAATCTTGTTAACCATAATTATGTACTGGTGGGACCTAAGGAATTCTGTCTTCAATATAAAAAATTTTCAGGGCTCTTTTGATATTTCAGTTAAAGTTGGCTAGACTTGATGCACATACTAGAACATGGGTTGGCTGTGGATTTTAATATGTTGGGGAAGGGGGTTTATACTTGAAATTTTTAAAGGAAATGGGACATGCAGCTATCACATAGGTTATGTGTGAATTTACCAATTAACCGTAGGAAACACTATTATGTTCGTCTACTTCGGGTTTTGTCTAACTTTCCTTTTCCATTTTTGATTGATTAGGATGGGCTTCAAGAAGGAGAACCTCATGTTTTGACAGAATCATCTAAAGATGAGCTCTTTGGACAATTTTTTGCTGCACTTGAGAAAGTTCACTTTTTCAAGCCTACTTCTGATGGGAACGATGACATGGTCCAACTAGAGAAAGTGACTCGCCTATTTCACAATGCTATAAATGTATGTTGTACTGACTTGTTGTGGGAGTTTATGGTAGCGTTGAATAGTGTTCACCTTAATTCGATCTGCATTGAGTTATTTTAACTGCGTGATCAATATAGTCATTCTTTATCATGTGCACGTGATTTTCCCTGGAAAGTGTGTCATGATGCTTACTTTTGGTTGGCGAACGATTGGCCCTTAACCAGTTTTGCTTGTTTCCCAGTCTGGGTAAATCCGGTGTGAATTTGATTAACAGAATGGGTTGCACCAACACATTTGTATTAGCGTTGTCATTGACTTTGGTAAAAATGATTGCTTAAAAAACACAGGTGTGACCTGATTTTACTTCATTGAGGAAACATTGTGCAACCGGACTCGCATGCAACCTAGAAGTTGATTTATCATCACTTTAAGTTATATGTTGTTCTTGGTCATTTGATATGCGAATTATCCTGGGTTTTCCCTCCTAGATCTAGATTCTGTCTGTTTCTCTACATCTGGACCTCTTCTCAATAAAACATATCATATTACCTATCAGGAGATGGAAGGATCTGGATGCCAGCAATACAACAAAACCAGTTTGGCAGAGACCTTAAAATCACAAGGTAATAATAGCTTTTCTCATTTTGTCTGGTATTTTGTGTTTACAACAGGAACTTGAAAGTTGATTTTAATTTTATCCTTCTGATTTAGATACAAGAGCTAGCAAGAGAGACTGACTATCACTTGGAAGAGTATAAAAATTGATGCCCCTGTTTTATTTGTCTCTAGTGATCCATAATTAATCTTAAATTGACAGAAGTTATTTTTGGCATGATGTGATTTTTGAGCTAGTTACAAGCTGTTGTGACTGTTTTTTTCTCAGGCAACAAGGCCATGCAGTCAAAGCTATACGCTGATGCAATTGAGTTGTACACTTGTGCCATTGCACTTTGTGAAAATAATGCTGTCTATTACAGTAACAGGTGCAGCAATACTTATGAGATTATATTGTTCTTAACTAACAAAAGTTGAAAATAGTGTAACTTTAATAAAATATCTTCTTGTTGCTTTTCCACTGTTAAAATTAGTATCCGCAGTATGCCGCCAAAGGTAGGACCTTGTGATTCTAGCACATTTTGCTTTAGGCACATTGTTAGAGGATTGTGAATGTGGTAATGTACAAGATATTCTGAACAAAATTAGGAGAATTATTTTTTGACAGAATGCATGTAATAGTTCTGTAGCTATTTTGACATAATCACGTTATGAATTTCACTGGTAGCAGGGCTTTTCTTAGAGCAAGAATTTTCAGGGAATTGGATGTTCTCATGAGCAACCACCATTTAGCAGATCATTTTATTTTTTGAAAGGATGGATGACTTGTGTTCTTGTCTTATGAGTTTGGCATACTGGCTGGTTACCATTTAAGTTTCCCACACCTTATTTTCTGTTATTTCGTTCATGGAGTTATAGTAGTGGTATAGTAATGCAGCCAAGATAGTGAATTTTCTTGCAGCATTATTTTGGTCGCAAGAAATTGGTATCTCTCTCTGAAATTTGAGTTCTGAATGCTAACAGAGAATGCAACCAATTCAACTTTAGGTAAAGAGAACGCTGAAGCGGCTTGTTTAAAAGAACTACTCGCATGAGAAATAAAAAGTCTGTAGTGGCTTGAATATTTTTGTTAAAATGGAATTTAACTATGATAAGTGATCAGGAAAAAACAACGTATAAGGTATACCATGGGTAACTTTTCATCACTCTTGATTAATTGAATTATCTAAACACCTGACAGGGCAGCTGCTTATACTCAGATTGGCAAATACAATGATGCAATTAAAGACTGTCATAAATCTCTAGAGATTGACCCAAATTATACAAAGGCATATAGCCGTTTGGGTACAGCATATTACGCTCTGGGGAAGTATGCTGACTCTATTGATAAAGGTTTTAAGAAAGGTAGGCTCAATACTTCTTTTACACCCATCGGACCTCAGTGTTCGCATTTCATATTCATATATTGGAGCCGAGTCTAGTATTGTAATGGCAGCAGGTGTTAACAATTAGAATTCACTGAACAGCTTGAATATATGCTAATTCGTTATTTGTCAAAAGAGTATGCTGTAACTAGGTGTCTCATTAATGCTCAAGTGGTTGTTTTCTTCATTTTCCTTAGATGAAATAACAAATGGTTGGATAAGAGCTGCAATTCCTTGACCAAGCCAGTGCAACATAATATTGACTTCTTGGACCTCTTGATGTAATGTCAGTTTTATATGCTTCCTGTATTGTTGGATCATACTCTCCTTATCATCTGAAGAAAAACACTTGGATTTTCTGTTAGGTTAATGTCTCACTCTTATTCTCTTCTGGTGAATGGCATTATTGGTCAATGAGTGTGTTCTACCTGTTTTATTTCCATATTTTATTGATCAATGTTGCATAATATATGCAGCGTTGCAACTTGATCCAAACAATGAATTTGTCAAAGAGAATATTCGGGTTGGGTTAGCTCTCCCTCTCCCACCCTCCCTCCCTCCCTCCCTCCCTCTCTCTCTCTCTCACAATATCCTGTTGGACTATAGGTTGCCGAGCAGAAATTGGAAGAATTACAGCAGAGAGAACGTAACCAGGTAATATGAAATTCTAATTTTCCATTATCGTGGTCTGTCTAAGTTAAGTGCACCTCTCAATTGGTGCTTCACTGTTGAGTATCGGCTCCCTGACAATGAAGAGATATAATGTAGCGAGTTGAGATATGGTATTTGCCAAGACCTACTTTAACGATCTATTGCTTCTTGCCTGCTGCCCAGGGAAGTGCTTCTGTCAATGCCCTGGTCTTATCATAAAGTTCTATCTTCTAACACTTCCATGATTCAATTTCCACGAGATGTAACAAGCTACTTGGATGTATTGGTTTTAATGTGTGCTTTACTCATCTTCTCATCTTATGCGAAGAGCTTTCTTGATACTTTTTCGGAGTAGCTTAGCGTACTTCTCTAGGTTTCTTTTACCGGCATTATTTTCGTATGTCTTTTGTCATTGTCATTTGCAGCCCTTTTTAGTAGCGTTCGCCTTTATTCTACATCTAATAAGAATCATTTTTGCCTTTACTGCAGTGGGACACTAGTTCATCTAACCATACTAGAGAAGAGTCTGATAGCCAATCTACGAGTGGATCAAGAAGCCATGCTACTCCACCGCCTTTTACATCCTTTCCTTTTGATCCTAGCACAATTCCCTCAAATTTTGCTAATATATTCATGAATATGGCTGGGAATGAATCTAACAGCCAATCTTCCAGTGGATCAGAAAGCCGGGCCGCTCCACCTCCATTTGGTTCTTTCCCGCTTGACCCTAATGCCATTCCTGTGAACTTGTCTAACATGTTTACAAACTGGGGTTCAACCGCATACCAAGGACAAGAACAACATTCCCAAGGAGAAGGGATAGGTGACCCTGAACCACTTGGGCCTGAGATAAGAATTGGTGGGAACATTAATCTGAATGTGGGTGAAAATATGCCTGAGGATATATCTGGGGCATTGAGAAGTGTTATGGAGATGTTCACAGGCACAGCTTCACGTGAAAATGCACAAGATGGAGCTGATGGAAGATCTGCTCCTAGCTGATGCATCGACTCATGTTTAAGGACTGTCGATGTCATGTTCTTTTTCCTTTTTGCCTTCTTCTGACTTGAAGATTTTATGTGGATTTTTCATCCACGTTTACAGATTGATTGACAGTAATCATAGGTTAACTTAGCATTCAGTGTTTCCTGAAGCTTTTTCTTTTTCCTTTTTTTTTTGTTCAAAGGAGGAGCTTTTATCAACGCAGAATTTTTCTTATTTTCGTAATATGAGCCAACTCAAGACTTTTTCACGGGGCTCCTCAGTTTTGCTTCTGGTTCTAGCCCCGCAGTAGGTAGTAACTCTTCAAGCTCGTTTAGTTGGTGATGGTTACCAGTGATTCTTTTTTCGGTAAATCTCGTACTTCAAAGTTTTGAAATTTTTGGTGCTGCGACGTTTCGCCAGTACGACAGTATCATGTCACAAACTGAAGTGCGCGTCTGATACTGGTGTTTTAGGCTTCGACTTCATATCCTAGTAGTCGTTTTCTACAATAAATCGAATGTTAGCTTTTGGTTGGTGTTCATGGGCCACAATAAAATTTGCATCATGAGAGATGTCGAATGTTTAGTCGAACATTCGCGCCGGAGAGGTGATGCCCCAAGATTTCAAATTGCGACCGGAACTATCCGAAGCATGAAAGAAAGTTAAAGCTTTTACTCTAATGGCTTTTTGAAATTCGTATATTTTTTTCATGCCCTATGATCAATGCAACTCTTGACCAGCCGAGTGATATTGAGGGCTGAAGGTGAACTTAAAATGAGGCTCGTAATATCGGCTCTTGAGAGATGCTGTAAACAACTGCTTCAGTGAACAGTATTATCATGACTTACAAATTTCGAATAACACCACACTCTGTGCACAAAAGTTTGTCTTAATCTTCTATATCCTCGTCAGTCAGGAATTTGCCCGTTCCAGGATTCAGCGCGGCGATGAAGAAGAAGAGGACATTGAACAGCACGAGGGGCTCGATCTCACTGATGGGCACTCCGGTCTCGATGTTTAGCTGAGCTAGAGCTCCCTTTCCGGTGATGATTTCGCCGATCAAAGAGAAGGCGAACCCGAGCTGAGCCAATCTTCCGACGAAGAGCTCATTCGCTTTCGTGAACCCGAACAACGGACCTAGCACACAAGACGACGGCAAAGTTTTTCAGGAGCTAAACTCACTTTTGTGTTCATGGCAGCCGTATATTCTCGAAATTAATTGACTATTTTAGTGGCCGTGTCTAAGATACCATGCCGGAATAGGCACAATTTTCATTCAAATTCATCTCCATCTGCCAAACTGTCAAAACAAATAAAACAGTAAGATGCTGCTACATACCTCCTTCCTTAAGACCTAGTGCCGAGCGGAAACTTTTGCCGGGAGGGATCACAGCCCCATCGATCCCAGTCGGGGGGTCATCGACGAACCGCCCACGGTCTCCAAGAGCTCCAATGGCTCCGAGCAATGTGAAGAGGATGAAGAAAAGGAGGAGAGGCTCAGCCTCATAAATGGGGACCCCAGTCTCTAAGTTTAACTGTGCAAGAATTCCTTTCCCCGTAATTGCCTCACCCAGCAAGGATGCCTGAACATAGTTTTCCAAGACTTCATATGATGCATTGCACAATGTGAAAGTTTTATGTGTGTGGGTGCATATGCCTGACAAGATATACTCATTTACTTGACCTTTTAACTTGTTAACCCAGTAAGGCAAACGTTTTTTACTTGGATCTTGGCAGTCTGACAAAGGATAGCACCGTGAGAAATGCTAAATGTACTGAAAAACTTTTCCAAAACGCTCATCTACGGAATCATGTCGCGAACTTTTGTCGAGCGGTTTTGAAGTCACTCTGATAGAGTGTAGAAAGATAAACCTTCGATCATATATAACACATTTTAATTGCCGTGCCGATTAGTAATGCTTCTTAGTAAGCGATACATGTTGCATTGCTCTAAAACAATGTAGTTACACTGATTAGCAGATTGAACCCCTAAACTACCTCTCAAACAATATTGTCCTGTTAATAACTTACATGCTGAAGCCGCCAGAAAAAGGAAAAAGAGATTAAACGGAAAACAATAAACCTACTGAGTATACTCCATTGTACTAGTCAGAATGGTCAATGTACAGTCTTTCAGCATCACTGACCAAACCTTACCACTTGGACATGAAATCAACTCCACTAAACAATCACAGTATACTATGGTTTTCCACTGTCAGAGATAAGATAACCCGTGTAAATGCTAAAAGCCACCTCTCCATTCAATTCTTGAACTCGGTTGGTCATCAAGAGAAACATATGCTCATGCATGTACTAGAAAGTGCTGAATGACTTCGAGCAAGAGCAGAAGAAAAAAGAGGGAACTCACAGCAAAGCCAATCATAGCAACACGACCCACGAAGAGCTCATTCTCTTTGGTGAAACCTATCCCACCAGATGTCCCAAAAATGCCATCTTCCACCTTCGGCTTAGCCTTCTCCACCTGTCAACCACGCAGAAACAACACAAGCCCAGAACAGAATTCACACTCAAGATTCAACCCCTTTTCCTCTAAAAACAAATTCAAACATGACGAGCAAAGAGAGAAGGAAGAGAGAGAGAGAGACCCTCTTAGGAGGGGCTTTGGTCTTGGACTTGAAGAGAGCAAAAACTGCAGAGGAACGATGAGAAGCTGCAGGCGGAGGAAGTGGGCTAAACAGGAGATTCTGAGAGAAAGAAGATGAGTTAGGCCTCAATCTTTGGATCTGGAACTGAAGCAAACGATCAGGTCTCTTCAAGTCCACCGAGTGTCCCGAGACACTTGGCATGAGCATCATGGTTTGAGCCATTCTTTCTTTTGCAGCTTCTCACACGCACTCTCGACTCTCTCCTTCTCTCGCTCACACACTCTCTTCGTTCACTGATATTTTTGGAATGGGCTGAAAATGGGGATGGTTTTGGTTTGTTTAATATGAGGAGGTGGGTGGCTATGGCTTGAGCTTGCATGGAAGAGATTTGAGGATATGGTTGCGAGATGTAGCGATGGGCAAATAGAGTGACCACGTCTCCTCTGCTGTACTTTGTGCTTGTGGAGATCATTTTTTGAGGTTCCAAGCATTTTCACGAGAAAATGAACTTTCACATGAAACCTCCGACACCAGATTTTGCTGCTACGGAGCTACTTAAGTGTTGACTGTGGTCCATCGAACGCGGCAGGAAGAGGTTGCTTCCTTCTCCTGAAACCATGGGCTTCAAAACGAGTTTAGAACTTTGGATTCTTGCAAAGAGTTCGACGTGACTCAATCAGGGCCGTCTGACTCTTAATTATCAGTTCTAATGACGAAGGATCTGTTGTCATTACGTGTATAAAAAAGTTACTGTGATTACGTGTCATAAGTCATTTCTTTTCGTAAAATGAAAAGAAAAATGATCCGCGATTGCATAATCATTATAGAATAACATGTGAAGAAATAATGACAAAATTCTGATATTATATTAAGCAACATCGATCATATTGGGGAGTGACTCCACTACCGGCAATTAAACTTTAGTACATATTCAATTGGGTCATGAAATTTGACATCGATCGTTAATTCGTAGAAATTTATGTTTGAACGATATGATGCTCTATAACAGGAAAGCTAAGCAATTTAAAAAGATAAATCCATCAATTCGAGAAAGAATAAAACAAATTCATTTTGTCGATTCTCTTTAAAAAAAAAAGAAGAAGAGAGAGAACAAATGCATCCGCACATAACAATTCCTCTAATTACAACAGCCCAATATTTTTCTCACCTTGATAAAAATTAGAAAAAGAAATTAAGGTCCTGGAATGTTCAGGAGTACAATGAGTCCCACCCAGTGGTTGCACTTGTCCATCACAGACAAGTCACTCCCTCAAAAAAAGTATAAATAAAAATAAAATTGAAAAGGTGAAGAAAACCTAAAGCAAAAAGACATGGGTTTGGACCCAAATGTGTGTACCCATCACTGTAGCAGCAGGTCCTACAGGCCAGGCCTTGCTTGTGACACCCCATGGATCCACTTGAACCATGCTAATATTGCCCTTCCTTGTCATTTTCCCTATTCAAAAAGTTCAACGTTGCTCGTCTCAACGTATGCTGTGTGCCCTTAAAAGAGTGGGTATGTTTGCCCTTTTAATGTCGAGGTCGGGTGATGTCTCGGATCGGTGTTATCAGGGCATTGTCATGACTGGAATTAGAAAATTCGGAGGGGCAGGGGAAATTCTATATGATGATCTGCCGCCACGACATGGCACCAAACGGCGATTAACATCGGGTTAGTGATGATTATGGCCCCAAGCATCGGTTGCATGTGTTGGTGTGGCAGCCCAATGGGGCCTTGCTTCACTATGATGGGCTTTGGCCCAACGAGCCCAGTGGCAAAGGCCACAGCATTGTGAAGTTGCAAATGCTAACTAAGTTTTGGCCCAATACACACAGGCCTGCTATATGCTGTCCGGCCCAAGTTCCAACCCAAGCCTCTGCAACTAACTATGTCAACCAACCAATCCTTCAGTGAACAAGGAAGACAATTGCCCGCTCAACTGGAAATCAGACCTAAATGATGACTTGACTGACGTCTGCGTTTGTCTTGCTCACTCAAATTAGGTGTGATCAGTTCCCGGTCCAGTCCTGTCCCACCCAAGAACCGGGCACCGGGAACCGGACTAGCTGGTCTTGGATCGGGAATCGGACCGGTCACGTAAAAGTTCTTGCTGTTCCAAAACTTCTTTCTATACTCTGCATTAAGCAAATGAAATATCTACCAAACTTGGTTTTTTATGCAAACAGATGACATGAAACCCGAACAAATCTGTGGAAAGAGTTGATCATATTACATTGAGCAAAATCGTCAAGTTCCTTGTGACCTGTCTTTGCCGAATGTGTAGAAGACGTGCATGAACAACTTAACAAAAAATTAATGGATCATGTTGTTTCCACCAAAGTTTCCACCACTGAGGGAGTTGGGAAATCAAACGACAATCTTGCTGGAAATGTTCGGCCTGAACTCAAATCGTGCCGAAGTGAAGGGAGTAGGGATGAGGAAGGAGTGGTTTAAGACAGGTCGGGAGGATCCATGTAGCGGCATCAACCTTGCATAATCTCAGCAATTAAAAGAAGAAAACATCGATGATGGAACCGGCTTAAATTGAAGAGGATGTTAACTAGAGATTAAGTTGATAGCTTGGCCTATCGAAAAGCATTAACTCCAGCAATGCTACCACACAGCATATAAAAGGGTTTAGCCAAAAACACCTCTTTATACCAGGCCAAGTGAAACAATACAGAGACACTACAGAAAAAATTACAATTTCCGTCTCATCGTTAATAAGTATGGAACGAGCTAAGTCGCTAAGTCACCATCTTCTCTGCTAAAGAACAAAACAACATCGCTCAATTATCAACGTACACAATCAGAGAGCCTACGGAGATGAAGCCTCCATCTAACACAAGACAAAAACACTAGTTTTCACCCCCCCTTTCACTGTTTCATCACAGTTCAACTTTACTTAATTTTTTGAAGGAATAAAATAAAATTATATATATAATCGGTCTGGTCCGATCGGTTCTGTTCCCACCCTGGAACCGGGAATCAGATAAAAAATTACTGGTTCCAATTTCTTGGAACCGGGTGCCGGACCGATACCTTCTGAAACCGCCAAGAACCGGCCAGTTCAGTCTAGTCCGGTCCGAACGGTTCCCGGTTCGGTCGGTCTATTTTGCACGTCCCTAAATCAAATCCTCGACTTGAAATGACAACATTTTTTTTACTATATAGGGATCCGCTAGGTATACGTCGAATGACAGAAACTGTTGTGGTTACTTGGGTGAGGAATTAGTGGGTGCTTGAAGAATTCGAACACCCCATTGTTAGAAGAACATAAAAGATATTCATGAATCTCATATCGACATGACATTTGAATGCATGATACGGGTGCAAAAAGCGAGAGGAAATCTAAGCATAACACGACATACAACATTCGATCCGTACATCGACGACAATCGTTACTTCGCAGCTGTTCCGATAGATGACAAGAAGGCGTGCTTTGGTATTGTAAGTCGAATCCTTTTGGTACGCTGAACAAAAGTCACGATGATTCGATAAGAATCAAAAGTTACTAGTAAGAATATGGCGGACAGACACAAATTGCAACTGGAACTTGCCATCATCATCAAAACCAGCTATTTCGTTATTTGCAGCAGGGATAGTTTTTGGTCGTGAATTTCGCAAAACATTTACCAAAACAAAAAATAAAGGCTTAATACCACGAAAAACCCTAAACTGGTACACTTGTGACACATTTACCCCAAACTATTTTTGTGACCATAAAAAACCCCAAACTGGTACACCTGTGACAATTTTACCTTGAACTATTTTTTTGATCACCAAAAACCCTAAACTGGTATACCTGTGACAATTTTACCCTGAACTTACCACAAAAAATCCCAAACTGGTACATATGTGACAATTTTACCATGAATTAAAATTTTAATATTATTTTTTTTTCGAATATTTATTTATTTTTTATTCTTTTCTTTTCTTTTTTTTTTTCATCTTCAAACTCTGGCCCGGCGACCGGCCAGAGGCGGAAGCCGGCGAGGGCCGCCCTCGCCGGCGTCGGGCGAGGGCCGTCCTCGCCCGCCCAGGGCAAGGGCGACCCTCGCCCGACTCAGGTGCGAGGCGGCCCTCGCCCGACGCCGGATTTGGCGAGGGCGACCCTCGGCTGCGTCGGGCGAGGGCCGCCCTCTTCTCCCGAGTCCGGGCGAGGGTCGCCCTTGCTCCCGGGCGAGCGAGGACGGCCCTCGCTCGACGCAGCGAGGGTCGCCCTTGCCGATCCGGCGAGGGCGAGGCGGCTGACTCCGGCGAGGGGCGGCCCTCGCCCGACGCCGGATCTCGGCGAGGGCGGCCTCGCCGACGCCGGCGAGGCCAGCCCTCGCCCGATACCGGCGAGGGTCGCCCTCGCCGGCTTCCGCCTCTGGCCGGTCGCCGGATCGGCGACCGGCCAGAGGTTGAAGGTGAAGGAAAAAAAAAGAAAAGAAAAGAAAAGAAAAAATAAAAAAATTCAAAAAAATAATATTAAAAATTAGTTCGGGGTAAAATTGTCACATGTGCACTAGTTTAGGGTTTTTTGTGATATGTTTGGGGTAAAATTGTCACAGGTGTACCAGTTTGGGGTTTTTTATGGTAAAAAAAAATAGTTTGGGGTAAATGTGTAACAAGTGTACCAGTTTAGAGTTTTTCGTGGTATTAACCCAAAAATAAAATAAAATAAATAACTAGAGAAAAAAATGTTAATTGGGGTGAGAGAGGCTCGAACTCTCGACCTCAGGATAACTCAGAAGCTATGAGACCTACGCGCTAGCCAACTGCGCCACCACCCCCGGTTGTTCCTTCTCTCAAATTAAACATAATAATCATTAACATTTTGATTGATGTATCGACTCGATAAGCCACGAGTTTAATTATGTTAATCTCCATGTTACTCAGTAAAATGTATCGGAAAATTTTCAGTTTGTTCTAATCAGTCGAATGTATGCGAAAACCTTTTCGTTTTTTGTTTCGATTGCTCAAACGTTGAGGAAATGAGGCAAATTTGAAGGGTTACTTTTATAGGGTACCCTATAAAAAGACCAAGCATGAAATAATTTTACATAAATGTGAATACGAGGATACCCTATTCATTGTGCAATGACATATTCTGCTATTTTTTCTCTTTGAAATCTCCCGTTTCTGCCTTAATACATTCACTCTCATTTTCTTTACCTCGATAGTGACTTTTCTATTGTGGTTAAACGGATACATTCGCACGTGCTTTCTCTTGTTAGAATTTAAATCTTCGCATAGGCTCCATAAGCTTCGATGTGGAGAAATAGAGACCAAGCCCGGATAGGAAAATTAAAAAGCACAGTTAAAGCAATCGCATCTCCCTTGTACCCTATTGAGATAGGATTACTTACAAAGATAAAGAATAATTGTACTTGATTTCCGTCTAATCTTTGCAAATCATCGAGCATCTTGTAAAGCGACCAAATAAAAATCAAGCATCTTGTACAACTGATAAAGACAAAAAAAAAAGATCATACTTCATTACATATATATGGGTTTAGTCATATGCCTTGTGGGGGCAAAAGCAGGGTTCCATGGTGTAGTGGTTAGCACTCTGGACTTTGAATCCAGCGACCTGGGTTCGACTCCCGGTGGGACCTTCCTCGCTTCTTCTTTTTGAGCGAAACTTCCTTGGCTCAATCTCAATCTATGTTTCTTGGCTTCTATTTTGAGCACAAAAAAAAAATATGTATATATTTGTAATGCAAGTGGCCCGCAAGGAATTGGTAGCACTCCACGGATAGAGGAGATCAAAATCACGATGCAGAGTCACACGGTTGAGACCAATGAATTCAATCCTTTAGATTTTCGAACCATAAGTTTGAACAACAAAACGAATTTACCCCAAAAAAGGGACTCTTTTAACCGCGTGGGGCTCGTGTTCAACTTGAAGATTTTCATGGTGTCTTATCTAAAATGGATTAGCAAGTTAAATTTGTTAGATCCAATGTTGAGTCGTGCATAATTAGTATTTTGATTCTCTACCAACTTCCAATCGAATTTTTCTTGTATTGATTTATCACTTTTAGCACAACTGATAATATATGGCAAAAACAAACAATATACAATGCCGCTGCGTTCGTACACGAATGCTTCATTTAAAAATGCTTACTTGGATTTTGTTGTGGTCACTTTCAGGACACACAAATCTGTGTTTCTGTAAATCCTTGTAACGAGGAAAATCACATTTGAAATGAGCTTAATTAGGTGTTCAAGAAGATTTGAGTACCTTGTATTCATTAGAAAAGAGAATGAATATTTATATTTTCTAACAGCTTTTGAAATAAATAAATCTGTCGGAGCATCTAAAGGCGGAAAAAAAAACAAATCCGCTCTAAACCTATTATATTCAATTTTGCCAATATAATCTTAAATATTTTTGTAAAATTTTAATATAGTCATTCTAACCAATTTTCTCCTGAAATTGCTTACCTAACATCTAGTCATTGCCGATCGTCTTATGTCACCCTAGAATGAAAGGGGAGATCTTGTAGTTCTTGATCTATGTAGATACTAGTTAGGTGTTCCATTATATTTTTCTAGTGAGGCCGAACCTAAACCCGTGCTCAATAGATAATTGTCTGTACAATGATAAGGGATATACGGATTCTCAAAAAGAGAGGAGCCATGGGGATCGCCCAAGTCCTATGAGTGAATAAAAAGTTGGATTTGCATTGGATCTCATATGAATCGCCCCATCTATCCTCATGAGGAGAGATTTGGTTTCAAACCCAGTTCGAACAAGAGAAGTACGCCATGCTAACGTGTCTTGGATGATCCAAATCTCAGGGTCATGCGCTAATAAGCACATTAAACTATCCATATGACTGAGAGCCTTCACAGCCTAGGTACAATAACGCAATTATTAAGAGAGTGCTTTACCATTGAGCTAATAGCTCATTGTGTAGGCCTCCCGCTGGGATCGACTATATCAAAAGCACGAGAAACCCCATCCCCCTTTTTCTTTTTCGCCCCCATGTCGCCACACGGGAGAGGCATGAGGACGTAAAAAATGGGATCCTATCAACTTGTTCTGACCTAGGATAATAAGCTCATGAGCTTGGTCTTTCTTCACCATCTAGAAATGAAAGAGGACTTCCATCTCCAAGTCATATGGCCGATTTGACGTGAACAAAATTACTCAAAACGAAGTCATTGTGAGTAATTTTATGAATTTTTTTTCCTTTTTTCTATCCTTTTATTTTTTTAATTTTTTTTGTTTTGATCATGATCTTCTTCCCCTGTCCACCACCATCGTCTCCGTCTCAAGATAGACGAATCAATCATGGTTGCTTATAGAAATATCAGAAAAGTCATAAACCTATTGCATTGACGCTAATTTAATAAAAATATTTTTTTTGTGCTAATTTAATTATAAACCTATCATTTCAGTCATTCTAACTAATTTTAGCTAGATATCGTTGATGTAGACGTCGAGCGGTCTACGTGGCAATGCTGGCACTGATGTTGATAAATTTTAATAATGTTTTAATATTTTTTAAATGTTTTTTAAAATTTTTCTTTCTTCTTCCTTTTGCCGATGACCGGCCACAGGTGATAGTCGGACGGGTTAACCTGGCCTGGGCGAGGGTCACCGTTGCCCACCACAGGCGAGGCCCGACCGGGCAAGGGCAGGCCCTGGTGAGGCAAGCCCTCGCCTAGGCCACGGTGGGCTCACCAAGCGTTGCCTTCACCCGGGTGACGCTCGGCAAGGAGAGCCCTTGCCCAAGCTAGGGTGGCCTCGCCAGATTTGGCCAGGGCAAGTCAACCCTCGCTTGGCTGGGCCTCACTTGTGGTGGTCAATGACGACCCTCGCCCTAGTGAGGCCAGCCCACCCAGTCGACCATCGCCTGTGGTCGGTGGCCGGTCACCGGTAAAAGGAAGAAGAAAGAAAACAAATAAAAATAAGAATGAAAATTATTAGAATATTATTAAAAATTATCTACGTCAACGCCAGCAGTGCCACGTAGGCCAGCTGACATACACATTAGCGATATCCAGCCAAAATTAGTCGAAAGGACTGAATTGACACTATGTCAAAAGGTTTATGACTAAATTAGCACAAAAAAAAGGTTTCGAACTAAATAGACACCAGTGAAATAGGTTTAGGATTTTCTGACACTTTTCCCTTATCATCTCTCGCGCATCCGAAAGGACTAATCCTGGTTCGTTTGGTCTCATAGCATCATTGAGTACATCTCTAATTTGACACGAGTACGAGAAATTAGGATTAAACCTGTTGTAAATTAAGCTTTGCAAATAAACACATCTGCGCAGCATCTAACGTCATTCGATCTCCAAGAGACATAATCACTAGATAGGATGTGCTTAGAGGCCAATGATCCCTCGCCTTCGATTTCCACTCTCGCGGCGGCAGTTCATCTTTGCCGTCGTCGAGCGAGCCCTATATCTCGGTTGAGCGCTTCCAAAGCCTAAGATCGAGGCTTGGGTTCGTTGCGGCCGCATCCCCTCACCCTGATGGCAGCCATAAAATGAGTAGAAAGGAGTTCGCAGATTCAATTGTGAAAAGGAGGAAGGAGGGCCTGATCTGGGAGGAGGAGGAGAAAAGAAGGAAAAAATAAAAAGAAAGAAGGAAAAGTTTTGGAAAATTAATAACTCAAAATGACATCGTTTTCGAGTAATTTGTCTTCGTCAGAGCACTAGCGTGTCACGTTGGACGGTTGGCGATGACAATATGACCGCATCAACAATTTCGTGCACAAATTGACTAGAAGACTATATTGAAATCTTACCAAAAATTTAAAATTATATTATCGAAAATAAAAAAAAAACTTAAGATTAAATCGATATCCTTACGAATAAATTCATAACTGATTTGGTAAAAGCATATTCCATTTTCGTCCACCGTCGCATTTGAATCTTCCCTCCGTTGCAGGCTTCATTTTCGCTGCCCAATGGCAAAAGGGACCACGTGGCATCGAAACTTGTGGTCAGGCCGAAGCTTTGATTTTTTTCCAAGCAATTTCTCTCTGGGAATAACCCCCCCCCAAAAAAAGGAAAAAGGAAATAAAAAGAAGAAGGGATTTTTACATTATCAACAATAAAGACCGCGTTTCGGCGCGATTGACCAGAGAAACAGCGGGCCGTGCGAATTCCATCGGGATAAGAGGAAGATATCTTCGCCGTCCGAGCTGGCAACGGTCCAGATATAAGTGGGGGTGGGGGGCCCACCCACATGAAGGAAGACGCTCCCACCCACACGACAGAAGAAAGACAGCCCCGTCGAAGCATGTGGAGATCGGGCGTGCCACGTGAGCGCCCCGCGGGGCTGCGCGCTCGTCCACGTGGCGCCCGGCGGGAGGCCGCCCGAGATCGCGCGCAACTCCCCACCTCTTATCAACAGAATTTCCCACATAAATCCCTCCCTCTTTCCACCACCAAAAAAAAAAATAAAAAAATTCCTCTCTTACTAATTCGTCCTTTGATTTTTCTCTCTTTTCTTTTTGACCCCCCCCTCTTCTCTCTCTCTCTCTCTCTCTCTCTCCGTCGGAACGGTTCCGACGCCATGAACGCCGTCGCCACCGCCGCCGCTCTGTCGCTGCCGATCTCCCTCTGCAAACCATCGAAGCTCAACGTCAGAAAGGTGATGAAACGCACCCCCTTTCCTCTCGTCGGGAGCTGTATGTATCTGGCCTGTTTCTCCGTGTTTGGAAAATGGAGTCCGTGTTGTTTACTGTTTAGTCCGTAGCTGAACCTTTAGGAGTTAATGACCACCGAGCTGGCGAGGCTAGGGGGATGAAATCATGGATTGTCGTCCTCGCTCGGCGCTCGATCGCGCGGCGCTCCTCGTTTCGCCAGCTGATCAGCGTTTCCTGAATGTTTTTCAGTGCCTTTTGCTCGGTTGCTTTCTTTTAGTGAGGATTAGTCTGATTAGATGTTCTGATCGTTTTATGGTAGCCTGACCAGTGGGATGATAGAAACCGAAAGTGTCATTTAGCTTCATCAAGATTATCTTTTTAGGATTCTCATTTTGTAGGGGCAACTTGTTCACTGAATTGTGCCTAGAAACACTTCGATCGAGTATAAGATATGGTGGAATCCTTTGCTTTTCAAGATTTGCTCTCAGTATGAATGTGAGCAATCCCCAAAACATTCTGCTTGGTTGGTGATATCTTGCAACATCCTATGTAATGCATGCCATTGGGCTTCATCCTATGTAAGGAATACAGGATGGCGGCAATCTGTTCAGTGGATCTTGCCAAACTCTACTGCTGAACGGAGGACGTGAACACAAATTTATCATTCTTTAAAATAAGATTCATCAGGACTACGACGCGCAATCTAAGTAAAGTATCTGATTAGTTTTGTAATAAACTTGCTTACTTGAAGGTTGTTGGATTGCAGGGGGTCAGAGGGAGATTTAGGGTTGTTGCTGTATTTGGAGAGGAAGGGGAACTGGTGGACAAGAAGAGTCTGTGGGGTCCTCTCTTTGATGTGGAGGATCCACGGTCTAGAGCCCCACAGTTGAAGGGGAAGTTTTTGGATGTAAATCAGGCTCTGGAAGTTGCTAGATATGACATTCAATATTTGGATTGGAGAGCTAGACAAGATCTACTCATGATTATGCTCCTTCATGAAAAGGTTTGCGTCAATCTCGTCTAATAGATTCGGTGGAATGTCTAAATCAGTCTTCATCTTTTTCTTTGTACCTCACTGAAGGGTCATGGATACTTTGATAATTTTCTTCTATCTTGAAGTCTTGTTCTCTCGTACTTTAGGTTGTCAGAAGGATCGGTCGTTGTTGTCACTGACATCGTCCTGTATAATGTCGGAGTTGGTTTTATTTGAAGTTCTCACTTTCAGAGAACAATTGTAGGTCGTGGAGGTTCTGAATCCTCTAGCTCGTGAATACAAATCCATTGGTACCCTGAAGAAGGACCTGGCGGGGTTGCAAGAAGAGTTAGAACAAGCTCACAGACAGGTGAATACCATACATTTTACAAACCTATTGCGACATTGCTGTACTCCATAGCCATGCATCCATTGTCGGTTCATTTCTGGAGAGACAAGACAGTGTAGAATGACTTGTTTGAGTCTAAAACACGCATAACTTGACAGGTTCATATCTCCGAAGCAAGGGTTGCCACTGCCTTGGATAAGCTAGCGTACATGGAGACATTGGTTAACGACCGGTTATTGCAAGACAGAAACACAACTGAGACCCCTGAAACAGCTTCTCCCCCTAGTACTTCTGCTCAATCTCTCGTAGCTGCGAAAAGGAAAGCGCCTCGGAAAAGTTTAAAGGTGTCAGGTCCAGTTCAACCTTACCATCCTCGCCTGAAGAACTTCTGGTACCCTGTTGCTTTCTCAGCTGACCTAAAGGATGACACAATGGTAAATTAGTCTTCCAAAATATTCATCTTCTTTTAGTATTACATGTTTGTCATATAATCTGCTTTTACCTAGTAAGAGCATGCCCCACCAAGCTTTCATGAATCTGTAAGTTCAGAAAACGTGAAAGAGCACTAGGACCAGTTATGCTTGAGATTTGGTTTCCGATAATAGTTTTGCCATGAACCTTAGCTCAGTCGAGCTTACTTGGATTAAATGCTCTGTTGCAGATGCCAATCGATTGCTTCGAGGAACTTTGGGTTCTTTTCCGTGGCAAGGATGGAAAACCTGGATGTGTCCAGAATACTTGCGCACATAGAGCATGCCCTCTTCACCTCGGTTCCATTAATGAGGGTCGTATCCAATGTCCATACCACGGTTAGTGGGATAAGCATCCCTCCATCAAAATTGTACTCAAAGGGATCGCATTTTTTTTTAATATAGATGAATAAGTGTCTAACTTTTCACATATTTCATGTATGGCATCAGGATGGGAGTATACAACTGATGGGAAATGCGAAAAAATGCCATCAACACGACTGCTTGATGTTAGAATTCGATCTTTACCTTGTTTTGAACAAGAAGGCATGATCTGGATTTGGCCTGGTGATGATGCTCCAGACACAATCCTTCCTTCATTGTTGCCTCCTTCTGGATTTGTGGTCCATGCCGAGGTATATATTATCTCTTTATTTATTTGTTTCATGAAGCATACTGTAGACATCTGGAATTTGTTGGAGAAAACTGATCTTGCATATTTTGTGTACCCGATGCCTCAGATAGTAATGGAACTTCCTGTGGAACATGGGCTGCTTCTGGACAACCTTTTGGATCTTGCACATGCTCCCTTTACTCACACTTCCACCTTTGCAAAGGGATGGAGTGTTCCCAGGTTTGTTTCTGCAAAGCTATCTGCCATCGAGAGATTTAGGCGACTGAAGCACGGATGCCCTTTTAGTAATTGATATTATGAAAAGCTTTTCAGTTCTTTTTGTTGTAAAAGATGAAAAATGCTTCTTGTACATAAATAGAAGTGAGTGGAAATGTGGTATTTTATTTTGAAACACGAGTAGTGGGTCAAAAAGAGGCCGATAAATGGGGAAAAAAATGAGAAATCAGGTAATGAAAGAGAATGACATGTTCACGATGCATCAGTATCCCTATTCTTGCATATGTGTTTCCTCTCTGGTTCACTTACAGGTTATGGTGCAAAATTGTCAGCTTGGTGAAATTTCTCACGCCTGCATCCGGCCTCCAAGGTTACTGGGATCCCTATCCAATTGATATGGAATTTCGACCACCTTGTATGGTTTTGTCGACCATTGGGATATCTAAGCCTGGAAAACTGGAAGGGCAGAGTACCCAGCAGTGCGCAACACATCTCCACCAGCTTCATGTATGTTTACCTTCAACAACAAATAAGACGAGGCTATTGTACAGAATGTCGCTGGATTTTGCTCCCCTGCTGAAGCAAGTTCCCTTTATGCAATACCTATGGAGGCACTTTGCAGAACAGGTAAAGATCTTCTTAGCCTGTTCTATTATTTCTTATGGGTGAGGGATACTATGGACATTCTTCGTTTTAGATCAACAAGTTATTTCCTAGGGCATCCTGAGCGAAACCTGAGAGGTGCCCTGATGTTCTATTATCAGAGTAAACCCTGTGGCACAGCACGCCAGTCGTTCATCGTGGGGTAGGGGATCACTCTTCATAGGTTTTTCTTGACAATAGATCATTATGTTTAGGTTGAGATGGAACTCCAGTGATATATGTCAAGCCATGTACTTGATACTGATTTCCAACAGTATCTGAAGCCAATTCATTAACTCTATGTTTGGGAACCAAGGAGTTGTTGGGGGTGGGGAATGAAACTTGGCCAAATTTTCCCTCCAAATTCATCTCACAAAAATTTCAAAATTTCTCTAATTTTTTATGCCCATTCCTCTCGTTTTCCTTCTTTCCCCAAACAGAGAGCCTAGGAGTCATCTAGGTTCAACTTCTGAACCCAGAGATGTATCTCATGTACAGCAGGGCGCTATAACTGGAAGTTGCAGTTCACCATGGAACTTAATCTCATCTAGCTATGTCGAGGAATCCAAACGTCTTCTGGTTTTCTTTGAAAAAAGAAATGGTCAAAATTTCTTTACTGGGTTTCCGAAACTCGAGTATTCTCAGCAAGTTTTCCTTTTCCAGGATTTAACTTTATTCTATAGCCCTTATAACACCGAAAGAGCTGCTATTACTGTCGTTTAATGATCACATTCTGATATTATACTCATAGACGAAAGTATGACAGGTCTTGAATGAGGATTTGCGGCTAGTGCTCGGCCAGCAAGAGCGAATGATCAATGGTGCGAATGTATGGAATTGGCCCGTATCCTACGACAAGCTGGGAGTGAGATACAGACTATGGAGAGATGCGGTAGAACGAGGGGCCAAGCAATTACCATTCAGCAAATCGGGGTAATCTACATCTCATGCCCGACGGAGTTCCATCAGTTCTTGATGATCCGCACGCCGCATTCGATTGCTGACTCCTCGTGCACAGCTTAAGCTCTAATGAAAGCCTTCTGGCCGATGCCATTGTTATTCAGTTTGATTCGTCCTCCTCGGCCCTATCTAAAGGGCAGTCGGATGTACCTTGCGGGAACTGTGAATTGGACTGAGGCAAACGAAATGGATTCTTTACAGGAACGGCCCTGGGTAATACTGTGCACTCAGTTTTTACCTTTTTCCTGTGTACAGTATTAAGAAGTCCATTTCTCGATTTGTTTTTTGCTCTTTTTGGGGTTTCTTCATCAGTCCTCCCAAGTTTCTACAGTAGTGTTCAAGATTTGCTTCTGAGTCGCTAGGCATATGGCATTCGGTCTCTCTTCCCTGTAACCCAAAATTCCACTTTGTATGAAACGCCAGTTTGTCGAATCAAAAGTTAAAGTCCCGAAATCTGGTTCTTCTTTGGCCGGATGCTGCGCATTATCCGTCCGCGAGACGGATATCAGCATCAATATCTCGTGGCGCATATCCAGAATATGACCCCAAAAGCCTAGCTGCAAACAGTAGCACTTTTATACGGTGCCTTACTACACCAAGATGGGTATCATAAAGTCGCTATCTCTGTAACCTTTGAACTAGGAGCATCAAATTACACACAAAACTGAAATGGCTAACCACATATTCGTTTTTACTCGCACCACCCTGAAAACTGAAACGCGGGCCAAAGGAAAGTCCAGAAGAATTCCATAACGAAAGACGGATCACAGAGCCGCACCGCAGAAGGGGCAGAAGCTGAACTCGGGCTCGACGGGCCGGTCGCAGGAGCCGCACCGCATGCCGTGGGGCTCCGCCTTCATCCTCGGCGGCGGCGGCGGCGGCGGGGGAGGGAGGGACGCGGAGGGCGGCGGGAAGAAGAGGCCGCAGCCGCCGCAGTGCATGAGGGGGGCTCTCCCCGGCCAGCGCCAGACGGGGACGAAGAAGAGCTTCAGCACCTTGTCGTAGTCGACGAGATCGGCCCTCGACCCGCACGCTACGCACCGCCCCGCGCCCGATTGCAGCACCCGCCTCGCCTGCTGCTCCAGCCCTCCCACGAAGAAGAAGAACATCCCTCTTTTACCCACGGAAGAACGGAAGAATTCCTTCTGGGATTTTACGTTAACTGCTTGGTTTATGGAGATTGCGCGATGCCTCTAAAATCGGGGGTTTATCAATGGAGGAAGAGGAGAAGGAGATGGGACTCGCCGGAGGGTTCTGGATTCTGCTTGGGGTTGCTTACTGCTTTAGGCTTGTTCCAGAATCTTGATGTTTTTCAGCTTAAAAAAGGATCGCATACGTGTTGACAACATATATCTATTATCTAGTGGGGTTAATACCACGAAAAATCCTAAACTGGTACACTTGTGACACATTTACCCCAAATTATTTTTTTGACCATAAAAAACCCCAAACTGGTACATCTGTGACAATTTTACCCCGAACTATTTTTTTGACCATCAAAACCCCAAATGGTAAGATCGTGACAATTTTACCATGAACTTATCACAAAAACCCCAAACTAGTACATATGTGACAATTTTACCATGAATTAAAATTTTAATATTATTTTTTATTTTTTTCGAATTTTTATTTATTTATTTATTTTTTTCCTTTTTTTTTTTTCTTTATCTTCAACCTCTGGCCGGTCGCCGATCCGGCGACCAGCCAGAGGCGGAAACCGGCGAGGGCCGCCCTCGTTGGCGTCGGGCGAAGGCCGTCCTTGCCGAGATCCGGCGAGCGACCCTCGCCGTGATCGGGCAGGGTTTGCTCTCACTGCGTCGGGCGAGGGCCGTCCTCGCCAGATCCGGCGAGGGCCGCCCTCGCCGGTATCGGGCGAGGGCTGCCCTCGCCTGCGTCGGGTGGGGGCCGCCCTCGCCGGCGTCGGGCGAGGGTTGTCCCCGCCCGCCCAGGGCAAGGGCGATCCTCGCCCGACTCAGGCGAGGACGACCCTCGCCGGTATCGGGCGAGGGCTGCCCTCGCCGGATCTGGCAAGGGCGACCCTCGCCTACGTCGGGCGAGGGTTGCCCTCACCGGATCTGGCAAGGGCGACCCTCGCTTGCGTCGGGCGAGGGTTGCCCTCGCCGGCGTCAGGCGAGGGCTGTCCTCGCCAGCCTAGGCGTCGGGCGACCTCGCCCAGGCTCGGGAGAGGGCGACCACTCGCTGCGTAGTGCTAGGGCGGCCCTCGCTAGAAGCTTTGGGCGAGGCGGCCCTCGCTGGGCGGCGAGGACGGCCCTCGCTGAGAATCCTCGGGCGAGCGGCCCTCGCCGCGTCGAGCGGAGGACGACCCTCGCCGGCCGCGGCGAGGCCTCCTCGCAATCCGGCAAGGGTCGCCCTTGCCGAGTCGAGCGAGGGCGGCCCTCGCCGGCTTCCGCCTCTAGCCGGTCGCCGGACCGGCGACCGGTCAGAGGTTGAAGTGAAGAAAAAAAAAAAGAAAAGAAAAGAAAAGAAAAAAATTCAAAAAATAAAAAAATAATATTAAAAATTAGTTGGGGTAAAATTGTCACATGTGTACCAGTTTAGGATTTTTTGTGGTATGTTCAGGGTAAAATTGTCACAAGTGTACCAGTTTAGAGTTTTTTATGGTAAAAAAAATAGTTTGGGGTAAATGTGTCACAAGTGTACCAGTTTAGGGTTTTTCGTGGTATTAACCCTTATCTAGTGTTAGTTTTCAATATATAAGTTTCACATAAATACGAGACTAATTAATGTAGTGAAAGATCCGACCGAGAAAAAAGAAATGTAGCGAAAAGATTATTAATATTCTCTCAGAAGGATATTGCGGTCTTATGATCACGAATTTAGAATCAAATGATACAGAGGGAGTGGCAAAACGAGACGGAACAAAGCTATTATTACGAAGAGGTCGAAACAATCCATTGCCTCTGTTAATTGAGAAACATGAATCGAAAAAAGATGAAAGATTAATTAAAAAAAGGGTAAGTACACCGTCTGTTGCCCGAGCGTAATTGATTATTTAAAACTTTCGAAAGATACAATCGAGTTTTGAAATTTGTCGAAAAAAGATAAAGCAATCGAGTCCCTTGCTCTGTTCCGTTTGGTTGGATGCACGTGACGCAACTGAAAAAGATAAAAAGAAACTAAAATTAAACAGGAAAAAAGATTAAAAAAATAAAAGGAGGAGGAAAAATTATTAACATGAAAAAGCTAAAAGATTAAACAAAAATATAGTGCCCATAAGACTTGGGTCGCGCTGCCTCCTAGTAGGCTCCTACTTCGCCAGTGAGGGATCGCAACCTTCGTAGCAAGGGCCGGCGGCCCCAATTGTGGGCTCCGGTGCTCCCTCTCTTCTTTGTGAAAGTGTGCTTTGCAAATTTTTTTGGTTTACTTTTTAGTCTATTTCTTCAGAATTTTTAAATCCAACTCTAATTATAACAAGAGCAAAATGGCATCGTTTTGGATATTTTGGGCTCTTCATTGAAATAATGCCGTGTTGAAAGAGAAGGTAATAAAAAAACCACCACGACCATTTTTTGTAAGTCACGTTGAACAAAGGTAACAGAATTTAATTGCAGAAATTTAACAGTCATAGAATCCGATTACATTTTTATTAAGTTTTGGGGGTTCAATTATACTTTATCGACAAGTTTTAAAATTTCTGATGCACTTATTCTCGGAAAAAAGAGGTGGATTAACAAAAGAAAGTAGAGGGAAGTTACAAGATTACGATCGATATATGATTCTTACCTATCAATACATGATGAAAAATAAGAAAAGGAATTCTTCATCGCCAAATGTTTTGATATGCGAGATGAATCGATTAATTTATTTCATTCCTTAGTTTTACTTGTTTGTTTTTACCATATTCTCGCATACGACGAGCAATTATATATACATATGTATATCAATAAAAACCTCGAATATAATATGGAAAAGGAAAAAGAATTTATATTGCAATTTACAGCGCCCACCTATGCTCGTGTGGTGGGTGCATGTCATGTCAACGTCAACCTTCCTAAAGACTGACCGAGTCACCTTCGGTGATTGAGTCTTCCTAACTACCGTGAAACCGCATGCTTCCAGTGCCGCGCTCGCCGGACCCAGGAAGCAGAAGCCGGAGAGAGATAGTAGAGAAGGATGGTAATGAAGAATATATTTGCTTTCTCACGTCGAAGACATATATGTGGAGAAGCCTATTTATGATACATAAAGTCTAATTAATCTAGGCAACAAATATACGAAAAAGAGAAAAAATGATTCCCTAATATACAATATCAATAAAAGGGAATCGTATCAAATATACGATATCAATCAGTGTCTAATCATATCAAATCATGGGCAACAATATCTCCAACACTCCCCTTCAAGCTATTGGTCTATACACATCAAGAATTCCTAACTTGCTTAGTAGATATGCATATTGCCTCTGACGTGAAGGTTTGGTGAAGATATCTGCAAGTTGCTCCGTTGTCCTTATTCCTTTTGTCCGGATCACTCAATCTTATATCTTGTCTCTGATTAAATGACAATCAACTTTATATGCTTCATCTTTTCATGAAAAACTGGATTAATTGCGAGTTTAAGGGCAGTATCGTGGTCACAAAACAAGATCGTCGGTTCCTTTACCCATACTTCGAGATCTTGAAGCAATCCTCTTATTCTGACAATTTCACAGTTGGTCTTCGCCATTACTCGATATTTTGCTTCAGTGGATGATAATGAAGTGGTTGATTGTTTCTTCGTTTTTCATGAGAGTAGTGAGTTTCCCAGTTTGACATACAATTTCTATAATGGATTTTCTACTCATAGAGCAAGTGGCATAATTGATGTCACAATATGTCATCATTTCCATATCGTTCTCTCGAGACAATAGTATTCCTAATCCAGGACATCCTTTCAAGTACTTCACTACTTTCAATGCAGCATTCATATGAGACTGTATTGGATTATGCATGAATTGATTGAGAATTTGTATTGCGTATAATATATCAGGTCTAGTCATGGTGAGTTAGATAATTTTTCCAACAAGTCGCTGATATGTAAAAGTATCATCGAGTAAAAGATCCTCATTTAGTGGCGACAATCCCTTGTCATATTCAGACGTCGTCAAAACATTTTTGGAATGGAAGCTTGGTATATGAGGACACGAGCAACTTCTAAACGATGATGATGTTTCCTTTCGACAGTTCCGTTTTGTTGGGGGTGTATAGACACAAGAACTTTCATGAAGGATGCCATTGGACGTGAAGAATGAGGAACATTCATGATTGAAAAACTCACGAGCATTATCCGTACGAACTTGTTGGACAAATTTATGAAACTGATTTTTTTATCATTCTAACGAAGCTCTTAAGATTGGAAAGAACTTGGGCTTTGGATTGCATGAGAAAAACCCAAGTTAGCCCAAGTTGCATGTATAATCATCCATAATTGTGTGGAAAAATCAAGACCCTTCACGATGTGGAGTGTGATATGGCCCCAAATGTCCATTGTAACATAACAGAAACATCATTAGCAGGTGATGTGCTTTAAGGGAAAGGAAGTCATGATTGTTTAGCCAATGGACAAAAAGAGCATTTGGGATGAGGAAAGCAAGCACTATAACTTAAGCGTTGATGAGATAAGATAATATTATTATTGCTTTTGACATTAAACAGGTTGCCCTCATTCAAGGGAACATAAGAAAAATCAAGATTTTTGAGTAGTATGGCCTAAAAATAAAGTCCATCATGATTTTTACCCAAGTCCATCAGTTTCACAATTGAAAGGACATGAAAGAAACAAGACATCAGAATAAATAAGGATTCGGTAGGAATTGTCTTTCACAAAGTTTGGAGATAGAAATGATATTGAATTGAAAATCGGGAATGAGACGGACATATTTTAATGTAATGGATGGACTCAAACAGACATTTCTAATTTTTGTGACAGAGTTGCCACTTCCATTGGGAAGCCGAACTGAAGTACTATGAGGAGATTCACAAATATGGGAAAGGAAACGTTCATCACAAACTATGTGGTTAATAATCCATGCCTTAGTTGAAATAGAGTTCATGAGCCAATAGATTACAGCTGCATAGCTAGCCATCTTGTCGTGAGTTCCCAGCTGGCTTAATGCCTTCATGATTTGCTAGAATTGATCTTGATTGATAGGTTGATTGACCTTGGCATTTGCTGTAACTGAAATATTCTATATCCTTTTTTCTTTGTTTGTCCGTTTTCAATGCAATTTTCAATAATTTTCCTTAGAGTGATAAGGACGTTTGCAATAATCGTAAAATTTACCTTTTCTTTAATTG